ATGATTCCAGAGTTATGTTTATTCTTGAAGCGCATTTTAAAAACTATGCAACTACTACTTGTATGATTGTCAAAGAGGTTGTTATTATAGTTATTTAGAAACATTTAAAAGTAAATAACAATAACGACAAGCCTTGTTTGTTTCTCATTATTATTTAAATGCGTCTTTTCTGAGAGGCTGTCTAATTGATTGCCTTAAATGCCACAGAAGCTAGTTTGATGAAATTACGTTTGTATTCATATAAATATGACCAAGTTCTTACACCAGTTATGGCTTAAATTTCCAAACATTACTTAAAACACCAAATGAAATTAATGAAATGAAATGAGAAAATGATCTTTAATGATCAGCATGAAACCATTTCGATTTCTTTTTAGTGGTTTTTTCTTCTGAAGATCAGCCTCTAATAAAGAAGATCGCATTGAAAACAATGCTCCAGCTTACCACCTAGTATGATTTACAATAATGAGCTGCATATTAAATGCGAAAGAAAAACTTGTTAACTAAATTATATAAACGGTGAAACCCAAGCAAAACAAACAGCTGCCAAACTCCTCAGCTACTGCTGCTGCTGCATCGGCTGTTGACGCAGTTGCTGAGCAACAACACAATCATAATAATAATAATAAACAGTTATGTTTGAAATGGCTTAAAGCTGTTTCAATACCGCGAGCCAATTACAAACATAGATATTGTCCATAAACAATTTGTTTGAGGTTCGAAAGCACGCGAAGAGCGACAAGGAACTTGAAGGAAAACGCTCAGAAATTACGAGCACTCGTGTGCTTGCCAAAGATGGCGAAGACTACTTCTGAGATACATTAAAAGCAATGCGTAAAAACAACAATTATAAGGTAGCTGACATTTGGGGAGCCGGCCGCCATGTGGCCGAGCCTAAGCCACAAAATGGCCAAGAGACGCGTGATTTATGGGCACATTGGCTGTTGCGTGTGGTTGGAGCTGCTGATGAGGCTGTGGCAGCTGCCCAAGAATGTGTAATGTCTACGTCTATGTTGTCTACGCAGTCGTCGGGGAATAATAACAATTTTTAAAATTATGCTCCCAGTCGTGCACGGCCCGAGAGTTCAACGACGGTTTAGGTTTACTCCTCTTTGTTGTTGTCTGTTGGTTGGTCGGTTACGCTTCACGGCGGCAACAAAACAATTACAGTTCTGCTGCTGCTGCTGCTGCTGCAGCTGTTGTTGTTTTTGTTTTTGTGGCGCTGCCAGCAATTTGCAACATGCAACAAACAGCGGCACCAACAACAACAGCGGCAGGTAAAACAATGCAAACACGACGCATTGCCAATCAAAAATGTTAACATATTGTGAAAAAAATCAGCACAGCTCAACAACTTGGTAATAACAAAATTAACATGAACGAATGAAACGTGTGGAAAATGCATACAAAGCCGCAACCGAAGAGTTCCAACACAGTACAGTCTGCGAAATGGCCATAAATACAATATACGAGTATACTTGTATGTATAATGATATGAACAGACGACTCCTGCCAAAATCTGCCAAGCCTTCACCTTCACATCTCGGATGCATGAAAGCGAAAGCAGCTTAACATCTAATTTCTTGAATAAGTTAGTTTTTATAAATATAAATAATTCGAAGTCCACGTGCGTCTATTTGGAATAGGAGCATAGCTTTTATTATTATTGCTCTACAGATATTATTATGTTTAGCTACCGCGAAGATTTTTCAACAGATATAGCATGATCTGAGACAGAATGCATATTTTTGTATGGTTTAGGGAATCGCACGCTTGGCCCAGACGCTTTTAGCCTTGAGTTTTATTATTTATTTCTTCTTTCTTTATTTATTATTTCTCTCAGTAATATGTGGTCGGGGGGTTTAGCAACAGCTGCCCCCACAGCACGCCACATGGCAGTTGGGGCAAGTTCAGGCATGGACTGCGGCTTGAACAGTCATTGGCTTAGACGCGGGCCCAAACGCATGTGTCGCAAGTGGCTGGATGATCTAATCGAGCTCGGCACTTAACACTTAATTGAGAGATGCGCGATTCACTCCGTATGATAAATCACAAAACCAACTGCACCGCCTGCTAATTCCTAGTGTAAAACTATGAGTGTGGGCTCTGAATCATGCCAAAATGCACAACAAACATTTTTATTAAATATATGTTCGATTTTGTGTTCATGTGTGGGTGTGTGTGGGTGTGCTTGAAGTGCATTTTGAATAATGAAAGAAATCAAAATGAAATGCAATACTCACTTATTTAGCGTTATAAACGGGCGTATAACGTAAAAAATATTCCAAAACGCTACGCTGCTTGGGCAGTTGGACGACTGAGGTTAATCCACATTGAATGATTCCGGGCGCAGGCGCGCAGGAATGCATGTAGTAGAGGGTTACGGAGGTGGTTGGAGGGGAGCGCGCGATATGGAAACAATATGTTCGTATGTAGAGTTGGCGTTAGAGAGGAAAAGAGAGCGCGAGCACAATACGAACTTATAGATACTTTTTGCTTAAATCAATTACTTTGCAGCACATTTTCATAAAAACACTTATTCATCTGATTATTATGCTATTGAACACTTTTTGCTAAAGCAAGCACTTTTTGTTTAGCACACATAGCCACTTTTTTCTTTTTCTTTTGTTTTTGCCGTTTTGTTCCTTCTCTTATTGTACGCGAAACGAGCGCGCATATAGTTTGTTTTATAAAAAAAAACTAAGTTGCCACCAAAGGCAAAAAGATACAGATACACAATTGTAACCGACTGCCTGGTTGCTTGCTTGGCTGGTTGCCTGTCTGACTAAGCTGTTGGCTGACTGGCAAGCTGGTTGGCTCTGCTTGGCGTGGCGACGTTTCAAAAGTGACTGAAGCCCGCGACCGACACAAAGCGCAGCGAAGCTGCAAACGTGTCTTAAACATAAAGGTGTGTGCGCGCGGCCCAGGTAAAAACCACGGGCCGGAGAGTCGTCTCGAGAGCGCGCGAGAGCGAGAGCGAGCGCATAAGCCAGCGATCCATAGTTCAACAGCTCTGTGAGGTATAGCCGCAGAGTGTCCAACTTCTTCGCTCAAACTGCTTAGGCGAGGCCGTGACGTCACATATCTTAGCAACGCAAGAAACCACATCTACGTGAGAAGCAAGTGAATGGGTTATCTGAAACGATGAGAGGTATATTAGATTATTAGAGAATTAAAAAGCAGAACAGTAATTGCAATTTTAATGCTTGATCCAATCAATCGATATAACGAAGAATTGTTAAGCAAACAAGCAAAATTGAAATAAAAATTATGCCTAAACTAAATATTCTATATCGACATTAATACGATTTTTGTACGCCAAGCTCTACTATTCGTCATGTTCCCTCTTTTTTCGTGAGAGCAGCGAATGCCATGGACAGCGTAGCGATACCTTGATCTTTCTATATGCCATTATACGATCTTAAACGATCTTGCAGCTGTTGCTATTGTTGCTGTTGTTGTTGGTGTTGCGAGCGGAGTGAACTTTTGCGCCAGTAAAAGCTAACAAAGAAAGACAAGAGCTAAAACTGGTTATGCGCTTGGATATTAATGGATACTGCTGCTGCTGGACACAAGCCGCGGCACAACCGGCACAGTTCTGTTCTCATTGCTGTTGACTTTTAAAGCGACTTTGCTGACTTGCCAGAATTGGGAATCGCAAGAATGGAAAGGAAGCCGAAAGCAAGCAAGCAGCAAGCCAGCCAGCCAGCCAGCCAGCTCCTTTGGACCAGTTACTAGTTGCTGCTTACTAGTTTGTTGCCGCATGGACAAGGTTAATAACATCGTTATACGAAAGAAATGTCTGAGCATTGAAATAGGCAGACAACAACAACAACAAAATGTGCAGACAAAATGCAGACTGGTCGGTCGGTCGCATCAGTGGCAACTTGTAAGCTGTAAGTTGTTGCGTTTACCGTTAATGAGCAAACGCAGCAACTGCCAGCAGCAAGGCGAAATTGTTTATGAAATGCGCATCAGGTATAATCAAAAAAAAAAGAAGCTACCATAATTTAAAGCTTGTGAGAAAAACATAAAAAGCAACCGACCTTTGTTGTTGTTGGTGGTGGTGGCTGTCTGATCGACTGGGGGGCACTCCTAGGGCGTGCATTGTTCTGCGGCTACGTGTTGACGTGTTGCCGCAACGTTCGGCACTTCCTCGACTAAAAATGAAAACCAGTTTCGAAGTTTGCATTTTTGCTAACGGACATTAGTTTGTGTGTTATGCAAAAGGTTTTTCCAGCGGCAGTAGAAAATGCATCGTGACATTGTGTGCTCGAAAAATAGAAAACTCCGGCACATCCAAATTCCTGTTGATCGTAAGCCGGTTGTATGCTGCTGACCGCATTTCGTGCAGCGTCTGCAAAAGAGCGATCATATTAGTAACACACAAACATACATATGACAAATGTATCTGTACTATGTACATACACACATATATCAACTGGAAAGCCTAGCTCATGCAAAACCACCTCAATTACGACCGAACGGTGACCTAGTAGTTTAATTTTAATTTTGTTAGTAAACGGGACGGACTGTATTAAATCTTAGACTTTTTGTATGCAGAGATAAGGAAGCTGCCCCTACCTGTGTGTATTGTTGTACTTGTTTCCATCGACTTGCACTGCAATATTATTGCTGGGATAACTTTTCCTTTTTCACGTAATTGGCAGCATTGTCCACTGATAGTTTTTCCTCAAGCACTTGAATATTTCTTATCAGTTGGCGCTTTAAAGCTATTTATTCGGTATTTTTTATGACATTTACTGCAGATGCTTTAGAGATGAGCAAACTGTGATTTAGATTTCACAGCGATAATTGTAACAGTGACTCACCAAGCAAATTAGTGGTGGGAGTTTAAGCAATTACATAAAATAACTATTACAAGTGACTGTTATTTCGCTCGCCACATACAAACATCGACAAGCACAATTTGCATGAAAAAACGGACAAGGTATGGAATACAGGCTTTCCATTTTTTAATTTGAAATTGTGTGAGTTTTTGTAAGTTTATTCGATTTGTATAACTTGTCACAGATCTAACGTGGCTCGTGAAAAAGTCACGTTGACGGTAATGTCGCTCTTCTCTAGCGCGCTACGAGAACCATCGATAAACAGTTTCACATCTCTATCTGATCCACCGGAATAAGATGCCTTGCTGGTACTATGACAAGAAGGAGCTCCGTGAAACACCTTCAATCCTGGATGGAGTCACATTTGAGACTGAGCGGCGCTACCGGAAGGAGGGAGCGCGATTCATTATGGAATGCGGCACGAAAATGGGATTGGGTCACAACACGATGGCCACCGGCGTCGTGTATTTTCATCGCTTCTACATGTTCCACTCATTCAAAAGTTTTCCACGCTACGTGACCGCCTGCTGTTGTCTCTTTCTGGCCGGCAAGGTGGAGGAGACGCCAAAGAAGTGTCGAGACATTATCAAAACAGCGCGCGGTATCCTCAACGATAACTATTTCGTCTCTTTCGGGGAGGATCCCAAGGAGGAGGTGATGACGCTGGAGCGTATATTGCTGCAGACCATCAAGTTTGACCTGCAAGTAGAGCACCCGTACACATTTCTCCTGAAATACGCTAAGTGTTTTAAGGGAGACCAGCAGAAGCTGCAAAAAATGGTACAAATGGCGTGGAACTTCGTCAACGATTCGCTCAGCACGGTGGTGTGCCTGCAGTGGGAGCCTGAGATCATAGCCGTGGCGCTCATTCATCTGGCCAGTAAGCTGAGTAAGTTCACAGTACTGGATTGGCTGGGTAGACAGCCAAGCCATCAACGCTGGTGGGACATGTTCGTTTCGGACGTGACCATGGAAATACTGGAAGACATCTGCCATCAGGTACTAGACTTATATCAGTCGACGCAAAAGGAAGGCCAGGAACCTAACAGTCCGCCACAGAAGCCGCCCAGCCGAGCGGACAGTCCCACAAACAACAAAGTGTTGTCGCTGCTGCTGCCATTGCCGCAGAACAGCAGCATCGTCGACTCCACGACTCTGGGCAAAACCAAAGCAGCACCGCCGCCTCCGCCACCACTCCCAGCGTGTCCGCCCAGTGACAATGGCGGCCTGAATCCAAACAACGCCGCAGCCGAGCTGAACAACATACAGAGCATTAAATCTTTAGCCAGTGCAGTGCCCGTCGAAACGCTGCCTCCTGTTACCCTCAATACCAATGCAAACTATCACATGTACCACGCACCTCCGCCGCCTCCGCCTCCAGCGCCTATAGCACCGCCGTATCCGCCTCCACACTACACTGCGGTGCCGCCCAACATGGGTTACTACAATGCCGGACGCCCGCAGCAGCCACAGCCACGATACCAATAGACAGTAAGAAGATCAGATCAGGCCTAGGAATATTATGCAAATTGTCATGTCTATATTATTGTTAGGATCAAATTCAACACTCACATTTATATTAATAAAGCGTAATTTTATTAAAACAACTATTATTTCTCTCACCATGCGCTTGGGCTTTGGGCCATAATCGCCACCACTGGGCCATCGATGAACAGCATTATTATGTGATGGATGCTGAGGGAGTGCGTTAAAAGAGATTTCAACCGGGAAACATTCGGAAATAAGTTCTATTCATTGTCTCAATAATGTCGAGACTACCTAATCTTCTTTGAATTCTTTAATCATTTTCACGTCGGTTTAGGGAATTAACGGATTAACAGTAAGAAAAGCAAATGTTTTAAACAAATAAGAAGCTATTTTTGGCTACGCCAAATCTAGAAAACTTTTTACTGTCTTCTACAACAACAAATTGGTCCAAATTTAAAACAAAGCTGTTTATTGCATCGTTCTTTTGAAAGTTAAATAAAACGACTCCGAAATAAGGAAAGGTTTAAAAAAAATGCGGACGAACCGCTCCTTTTCAATGAGCGACATTGCACGAAATGCGGACGTAAGTCGTAAGGGTATTGAACACAGCTTTGTGCCTCGGACGAGGATAAACGTTACTAGAACTTCTGCGCTGGGTGAGAAAGATATCAAGATCTGTAAGACAAACTTACCAAGACTTATCAACAAAATAAAACATGAACGAACTAAATACCCAACTCCTAATAACAACTTAAAACTACGAAAAAAACAGAAAAGAAAATCGTGTCTAATTTTCAAATATAGTCGATTTTTCAGTCCTAATCTACACCACAAAATGAATTCTAGATGTGTGTTTATACATATAGTATATATGAGCATTAAAGATTGTCTAATGTAGACAGATTGCCAATATTACAGAACTATTAATATTCTATGAGAATGGATCGATATTAAAAGCCGCCTTAAGAAAAGGATTCACAATTTTCTAAAGATAGAATTCCAACAGATTTGATCAGAGATGGCATACACAAATATTAGACTTGATAAACCTTTCTCCACTATCCAAATCGAACTGATAGCTTCTGAATTATTCTGTGTTTCTAGGTTGAAAGCTGTTTTTGAACTCACTCCCCAGACATGTGTGTTTGGAGTACATATTTACGTATGAATGTATCTGTGTGGATGAATGTGTACTTCTTATGTTGGTTTACTTGGCTACTTACAGTTTATTAGATGCTGTATTTTGTGTTGTATATAAGCTAAGCTATATACGATATATATATTGGGGCAGGACCGCTGCCCACTTAGGCGTTCGTAGGGGGCGTGGATTACATATAGTATATAATATTGCGATTCGGTTAACGGTTATTGAGTAACGATATACACATAAACATGCGCTAAACATTTACGCTACGATCATGATGAGAGCAGCCACTTCCAGCGGCTATGTGTGTGTGATTTTGTGTGTTAGTGCTTTCCTAACACTTTCGTGTCAACGTCAATTCGCCACAAGCATAATACTGCGGTACCATAAGAAACTCTGGCAGAGCACGCCGCGTCATGTTGCTTGTTAAGGAGGACGAAGAGGCCGCCGGTTGTTTTGTCTGTTGAAGCTCTTGTTGCTGGGCTTGTCGCACAATGTGACCGATTTTACCTGCGAATATATAGACAAACCTGCATAAGTTCAGATATTACAAACTAATTACATAACGCATATCATAAAAGGGGTTTCCTAAACTAACGGAAAATACACATCTAAGGAACTATTTTATTCTTTACAATCATCGCATTTGCGGAAACTTCGAGTTTGGTTAAAAATAAATGTTGTAATCTATTTTCTAAGACTAGATTTACCCAGTATATTTGCCCGATGAAAGCATTTGTCCAGTTCACGCAACTGGGACAGATCTCTGTGGCGCGACCACGAGATTAAGATGTCGCTAACTTTAACGGGCACCATGGCTGGAGCTGGGGCAGAGGCTGTGTTGTTCCCCATATCCTGTGAGAAGAAGAGCAGCTTAGCAGAGGTTTGCCAGACTGTGGGTTGGCTTCTGCACTCACCTCTTTAAATTGCACATTCACCTGGTTTTGAGTGACCAGCTCGATCAGCTTCTTGATCTTGCGATGATTGCAGTGCTGCTTGGAGGCATGCAGGAGCAACTTTTTGAGACTCGCTAGCGCGCGCACTGGTGGCGCTGACAGTGATTGGAAATAGCTCTGCACCAGAGCGGCATTGTAGGAAATGTGAAGTTTGTCTAGCGCCTGCACCAGATGCTCCTCACTCAGATGCGCCGTGTGGAGCCGTGCCACCAGCAGCTCTGGTTCAGTCGAAAAGCTTTGCTTGAGCAGCTGCAAATACAATTTATCAGTTATCGTTATTGAAGGTCTAAATTCAACTCTCTCTCACCTGCATGCCGCCGAAATTATTATCACACGAAATAAACCTTTGGTTGAAGAGCGTGCCGCTGGCGCTAACGCGGCCACTGACATTGACATTGTTGCTGCCATGCCAGCCATCACCGATGCTCTTGCGCGATGCTGATGCGGCACTAGCACCAGCACCAAAGTGCCCGCCAAACTCATCAAAGTAGCCGGGGGAGCCGCTGCGACAGCGCGTCTGCTCCGCACGCGCATAAAGGGAAAGGCTACTGCCACGCTGCTTGCGGCACTTGGCACAGCTACTTAGATCCATAGCCTTGCCAATGGTATTGGCTAGAAACTCTTTTTCCAGGCAGTCTAGACAAGTCTCCTCGGTGTTGTTGAGATCAAAGTGCGCCACCAGCATGGGTACCGTATCCACATTTTGTTGAATCATTTGCACATTGGCACGAAAGTCTGTGCAGCTATAGCAGCGTTCATCGAAGCTGGCACTGTTGCCAGTGCCGGAGGCAGGAGCAAATGCCGAACGCAGCGAGCTGCGCGATTTCGATGAGGAATTTTTCGACGAAACAGAAGACGATGTGGAAAGGCGCTTCGGCTTAGCGCCTGTCACTTTGGATGGGCTTTGCTGAGCAGCCGGCTCGCTGGTACTGCGCCCGAAGCTTGTGTATAGCGTGTTAGGGAGTGAGTGGGCCTGCGAATCTTGTACAGTGACATCGTCAGCTGCCGAGGCATCCAAATCTGCGACGCTGCCATCTTTGATTTGATCCAAGTTAAGGCTGATGCGTGCAAACGTTTTGCTAAGGCGCAGCTTCTGATGCTGGAGTGCCTCCTGAGGGGGCAAATCGTCTATGGGGGAACTGTAAAGTTGGCGTTGTGTGGGCGTGGCCTGCAACATGTTATTGGTGGAGCGTCGCCCACTCAAGTGGTTGTAATCGCGCTGCATCAACAGCAAGTTGGCGTGATCTACGTCTACATTGGCGTCGTCTAGATGGCCGCTGGCAAATTCCAGCTCGGAGGGTGGGTCTGGTTCAAAGTCCATTTCGAGGAATTCCGTTTCATCATCACCGTCAACCAAGCCACCTGCACCGCCAGCAATGCCAAAATTTAGTTGGTGTCCACCGATACAGTCAAAGTCAGCGGCATCACCCCGATAGGCGTACACACAATCGTCCGAGTTTAGCGAAATTTCCTCGGCCTCCACATCGTCGTCGTCGAGCAGTATGAGATCATCGGGATAGTAATTGTCGCTCGCGTAGCTCAGATTCTCCGTCGAGTTATTCATGGATGTCCGACTGGAGCTAATGCCGCCGATGGCTGCGGCTAAGTCCAAATCGCCATTTAGCGGCGACAGCGCAGTCGCTGCGTAGGCGGCGCCGTTTTGTTGTAGCTGCCGCGCATGCTATAAGTATAAATCAAAAACAAAGGAAAATAGTATTGATTGGCTGGGAGGAGAGAGTTGCGGTAAAAACATGAACTCGCTTGCCTTATCAATGTCCCCACCGCCTACGGAGGCCCCTTCTACCGCACTTGCTCCTCCAATCGCAATATCCGAGTCTAAAACCAGTACGCCTGCTGCTTCAACTCCTCCGCCCTTGTCCTCTACGTGGGTAGCACAAGTATTTTTCGCCATTTGTTGCCTGTGCAGTTGCAGCTGCTCCTCCGCATTATGGACAGCGCCAGTCTCCACTAGATTATTGTTGATATTGAGACTTAATCGCCATTTATCTTCCATTGATGTGTGTGATGAATTGTTGTGTCTGTCCTAGGGATGTGTTTATCTATGCGCCTGTTACTTATTCGATTAGTTGCAATGCAGCAGTCACGCACAGAATTGTGAATAGTTGGTTACGAAGTATCGCTATATATTATCCGTTAAGTAGCACCAAATATATGGATGAAAATGTATTTAAATACTACTCGTTAAATCAAATAAATAAATAATTTCAATAATTTGGTCAATGCAATAACACAAATAACATAACAAAGATTGTATTGTATTTGTTTCTATTGCTACGCAGTTCGTTATTATTATAGTGACACAAATTTCACGGCTTTCGCAGAGATGAACCAAATTGTGTTCACGGTCACACAGTCAACATAATGGTACGTTGCCAGACACGGCGTAGACACAACAACAATATTTTGGTATTTATTTTAACGGATTTTCATCTTTATAAAAACAAACATGCAATTTAAATGTTTAACAAGGACAGTCACGAGTAGTAACAAACAATTTCAAATAAAAACAAAATTGCAAACAACTTTATTGAAGTCGCCCAAATACCTCGACACTGTGTAGTTAAATATGTTAAATTAAAATAAATTATGTGATTAGAAAAATTTACCGATAAATGCAGGTCATATTGGCGCCGTGATTAGAGTTGAAGATAAACTCTAGTTCCCTGTAGAAGCACTTACAATGCACTGTGTAGCTCTGGGTCCGTTTGTTTGGCGAATTATCATATTTCCACTTGCCCAACAGCTTAGGTTTCTGATTACTGAGAGCTATGCCCTATAGGCCAGGGGGCGTTATCTTTACAAGAGGCTGACCTGTACAAAAGAAATACACCCATTACTTACGTGAACCTCAAAATCCTTGGGAGCGCTCTGCACACAGAGACTGGGCGTCATTTCTTTGGCAACATGCGTGAGTGCTATTGCCTCCACAATAATGGGTTTGGCCAGATGCAGCATTGCAGTTGCTTTGGTGCCGCTATAGCCAAAGCAAGCGCCGGGGGCTAAGCTTGGTCGCAACATATTCACTGGCGGGTTCGAGCTGAAGTCCAGGCCGAGCAGCGACTTAAACAGATTAGTGCCACCAATGGGGCGCGCCTGTACCTTTGAAATCCGCGCTCCCAGTTCCTCTGCAGCGTAGTTGATGCGGTTTTTGCCTGTGGTCACTGCTTCGCTGGCCTTCGACGAACTTATACCACCACCATAAAATCCACATCCGGAACCCATAATCTGTTTCTTCAAATTGTACACATCGTCCATAAGGTTGCCGATTTTTCGCTTTACCAAAGCGTCCACATAGGCATTCATGGCATTAGAGTCCTCGCATTTTCCAGCTTCAGCGGCATTAGTCGAATCTCCGGCCAGGCAACTGAACTTGTTGAGAGATTGCTGTTTGTTTGAGGAGCAGCCTTGCCTTTGTTGCTCACGGAGCATGTGCTGCGAAATTTAAATGGTTAAGATTGGTATTGGGAAATACTTGCAGTCATGCAATTTACTGATATATCATCCACATCTTCGCGCAGCCGCGTGATTCCCTTATTATTATTACTATTGTCCGCCATTAGATAGTAAAAGAAAGCAGAAAGCAGAACAAAAGTTGTAACGTACGTTACACAAGCGCGACGGTGACTGCTGTCCATTGTGAATGGCAGAGTGGGTGCGCGGAACTAGTTCGCTTTTTTACGGGCGAATCGCTGGCAATTGGCTGCTGCTGCTGCTGCCGCTGCTGCTGCCGCTGCCACTATGTCTGCTCAGCTCTCAGTTCAGTTCTCTTCAGCTTCTGGTGGCGTCTGCTGCGCGTTTGTTTTGTCGCTGCCGTCGTCGTCGTGCTTGTTGTTGTTGTAGCTGCCACACCGCCTTATGGAGTAGATAAAAAGAAAGCCTTTCTTCAGAACTAACAATACACAAATTTCAGCCAGCTGCATACAAAAGGCCTGGGGCTGTCAGCAACGAAAACAACTATAACCGCAATTTTCGCTCAACTGTTGTTGTTTACGAAATATATTCGCTATAATATACATACATACATATGTATGTATATTTATTTTTCATCTATGTTGCCTGTCATAAAAAAAATTTGTTAACTTGTGCTATAAATCTGACTGGTAATTAAACGCGCCTCTTCTCTGTGTGTGTGTGTGTGCGTCTGTGTGTGCATGAGTCGAAAAAGTGCAATATAAAGAGCGAAAAATTGATTTTTTACCAGTGTCAGTGCCAGGTTGCAAGCGCAGCAGCAGCGACGCTTACAACGAAAACGGGCCAACTAAGTAAGTGACAGTAAAAACAAATCAACAAATTTTTTGAGCAACAACCACAACAACAACACACCCAGAGTCAAGATGGTCCAAAAGTATCAATCACCCGTGCGTGTTTACAAGTATCCGTTCGAACTTGTGATGATGGTACGTATTAACAGCATTTCTTGCTTTTTTATTTTTTATTTTGTTGGTAAAGATACATACACACGAACACATTCCACTCACGTACACACACACCTACACTCCTCGCGACACACGGTTAGGAATAACATCGCGTTGCAAGCCTTTCTTTTTCTCGTTGCCACATCTTTGCTTGAAGGCTGCATGGGTAGGGTATACTAGAAACTATAAACGCTAAATGTGGGCGTAACTTTTGAATCATAACTAGAAACTAGGAACTACAAACACCAAACACCGTATATAAAGACTTATCCATAAGAGAAGTAAGTTATATACAAATCTTATAAGTGTAGCATTTGTATAGCACCATCACCATCTAAAGTTTAAGTGAAATCGGAGCAGTATATCTTATAGCTGCCATAGAAAAGATCGGTTAAAAAATACTCCGTACTACCAAAATATATCATGCTTAAATACTAATTCGTTTTTGATTATGCTTCAGAATCAATCTTACTAGAATACCTCATCATTATCTTCAGTTTTATTTAAATCTGTGCACCATAACATTATCGTACATAACTGCAACCGGAAGGCTTGATGCAACAGAGTCTACTTGATTTGAAGGATAATGGTTGTGCAAGAGTTGGACTCTCTCGACCTTGTTTACGAGCTCTGGGCTTCAAGCCGAGTTCTTTCTCCTTTGTGCTACCCTGTTTTTTTTTTTTGTGTTTGTTTTTTTGCTTTTTTGCGGGTGCGAATTCATGTGTGTGGGTGGAATTGTCAGTTCACTTGCTTAATGTTTATGGCGATGCTTTTTATAACACAGAAATTTTAAATTTGCGAGCAGCTGTCGCTGGCAGCCTCTCCTCTCAGTCAGCCCCCCTCAGCTTCCCTTTAATCTACATTTGTTGCAACGCAGTCGGAACTCTCCTTCCGCCTGTTCTGTACATTTTTCTTGGATGGCTACCTAGCTGGCTGTATGTCGTGTTGCTTGCGAAAATAAATAAAATTAACCTTCAAGTTGTCGCTTCGAGCGCACGCCCGCACTGTCTTCTCTTCCTCTCTCCCTCCCTCTCTCCGCCTCTCAATCTCTCTCTCTCTCTCTCTTGGGCAAACTCTCTTTGGACTAAACGTGTTCTCTCGCTCTAGCAATTGCAAACGCGTATGTAATTTCATGAATGAAACTTACATTTACATATGTATATGCACACATACATATGTATGTACATAAGCATTGACGTAGACAGCATCTGATTTGGGGGGTAAAGGTTTTCTTCAATGATCAGATATTGTTGTTTTTCATGCTTTATACAATGAATGGCTATCATCTGTGCAATTATGACTAAACTAGTAAGTGAAGAAAATGAACGGATATTAAATGATTTGCACAAACTCTTTGGTATCTTAACATGCAAGTTATATTAATTCTGACGAACAAGGTTCATAATAGCAATACTTAAGAATAATATACTATACTCGTAGATATTATAATGATAGTTTCAAATGTTCCCTAAATCTTATCGGAAATAATTCAAATTAAAAATTAGGCTAATGGATTAATTCACACTATTTTATTAGTATAAACAAAATGTTTTTTACAAACAATTCAATAATTAATGATCTCAGTTTAGAATTTAAAAAAGGCGAGCTAGCAAGTTTTTTGAATATATTGGAGCACAAAAGTAACGTTTTAGACTCTAAAATTTAGAGAATAGGTAGAGATGCCTTTATAAACAACTAACATATGGAATTCCATGTTCGAACTGTGGGAGGGGATCGTTGCTCCCCTTTGCTTCGCCCATGGACCTAGTAAATACATAAAAACCTAGTGCCTGTGATTGCGTAGTTCGCCTTCTATGGCTGCTTTATACATACTCGTGCGAGTATATACATAGATATTGTGGCCGCAGAGAGCTGAGGCTTATATTGTGCCTGCTAGGAGATCAGGCAGGAAATTAAATATTATACCGCTGCATTGTTCAATCAGACAGCCAATTGAGCCACAAATTAGCACGAAGCTCCCATGTGGGTGTCTGTCTGGGTCCGGTTCTGTGTGTGTGTGTGTTTTGTCAAAACAACTGCCACTGATAAGACTACTTGTACAATGGCAGCCAAATTTGTGACAGAACTTAAATGACTAAAGCTCCGTGACGCATCAATCTGTATACATATAGATATGTATAGTATGTACAGTACATAATACATCGGAATCAATGGGAAGGGCTCAATTTAATTAAATTTGCCATATGTTCGCCCCTCCCCTTCTTCTGTACTATATATATCGCTCGCTGGCTTATGATAAACACATTTAATTTTAATTGAGCGGCGGCAGCAACAAAGTCATTATCTATGGAATTGTTCTCCACGTCAGAGTCACGAGTCTCCGACTGTCGACGACTGCGAATATTCTAAAATGCATAATTACTTACTATACATATGTACACACACACATACATGGACACATACATGCACACATTCATACTTTCATACTTACTAATGTCATTGACTCAATGACAGGCCAACAACAACAAAAACAACAAACATAAACTGCTAACCCACTGCGCAATGTCTGGCTTGTCTCTCTGTGCTTTTGTCTGTCTGTCTGTCTGTCTGTCTGTCTGTCTACTACATATCGCCTAGTAAGTCGAACTAATTGGCTTAACAGTAAATAATCGCTTTATACTATATACATACATATGTACATATGCATATGCTAGTATATCGCATAAATTGTAGAGTCACGTTGCTGGAAGGGTGATTTCAATTTCAATTCATGTTATTAAAGGTGGGATCGGAACAAACGCAAATTGCTATTTTCAATTGAACAGATTTTTCTCATACTACGTACTTTATACTACTCGTACTATTCTATACTCTCGTACATGAACGTTTTACGGGCCTGACACTAGACTTAAAACTAAACATAGAGTCTAACTTGACAATAAAACACAAGTACAGTCTATCATTATCATCATCATCTACCGGTTGTTGGTATTAGTGTTATGTTTGCTCTTTCGCTCTTTTCCACCAACTATCACAATCTCTTTCTACTGGTGCTTAGTTCAGTTTTTAGAAACAATCCTATTTATAAGTATTTCTACTCTTTACAACCAACGATGGAGCGTGAAAACTCTATACATATTTAAATATATTCCGACTACGAATTTTAAGCTCTAGTGTTTTATTATGCTACAAGATCATTATTCAAAAAATAATTATAATTATATTGTTAACATAATCTTGAAAACTGCAAAGGTATTTCTAGCCATAGCTTTGTACATTTATAGTACACTGATATTTTAAACTATATTGTAAAAACGTGATCTTTATAAGAGAAAGGGGATGTGGAATCTGAATTGGATGAAAATTTGTAATAATAAATGGATACATATCCAATCTTGGTGGAAAACGAATATTTAAAACTTTAGAAATTAAAGGATTACCTATGTATTCATGCTGATTTGCTTTGGCAATTTTTTAAAGGATTAATTTTATAATATTTCCATTTACTTAATATTAATATTATAATTTTGTACAGCTGGTAACATTGTTCGGACAAAGGTCACTAATTATAGGAACTCCTATCATTAAATTTTATGCAGATATTTCAAAAATATTAAAACATAATTTATTCTCACACCCAATTCCATTTCACTTCGTGCTGGCAATAGCAATGCGACAAGTCTGTCTGGCTGTTAGTATTATTATTAATTGTCATAAATATAATTGTAAATTAGAATTAAGTTTTAAATCAATTGAATCCAACAACAATTTCATGAATAACAAAACTACTTGACATAAACTGGGTAAAGCTATTGAAATAATTGTTTCCTTTGTTGGCATTCATTTAAAATGGTAATCTTTTTTTTACAAAAAACTAGATTATAAAATATATTAAAATATTCGTTTGCTGAGTACTGGCATTTGTCACAGTTTTTCAGTTGACAGTCAGTGTATATCTGTAGCTGCCTTACATAAAATTATGCCTCCTAGGCTATATCTTCCCCTACAAATGAGTCTAACCTGTTAACCCACAGCTGATGGAACATCGTCAGATGTGACAACAAACAATTCGCGCCAAACTGCTTAATAAACAATGAAGTTCCTCTTCCATCTGGATTCCTTATTCATGACATACAGCTTTGTAAATTCCAGCAGAAAGAAGTCAAGGTTATAGAAAGGAAAGTCCTTGTGTGCAATAATGTATGATTCTTGCATATTTATCAGCGCACCAACCCTGATGGGAATCAAGGCCATCAATTAGGTTTAATTGTAAGTTTTTATGGCTGACAACAAGTGTTGTTACCCACACGTTATTCATACTAGTATGTGTCACCGATTTAGCCCACTTTATATAGTTTATAGGTTGAAGGCGCTCCATAATCAAATTTTCAACGATGCCACTACTGCTCTGGTCTGTGAGGCAGTCTAAGTTTTTAATAGCCAATTAGCATTTTATATGCCTCGGAAGGATGCGACGGGAGCATAGCTAGAGAGAGAGAAAGGGAGAGAGAGAGAGAGAGAGGAAAGCCGCTGTTGTGAGACATGTGGGACTTTCTGGGGCGATGTTTGCATTGTAATTGTCTTTGTGCGACTACTGGCCATAAATTCGACCATGCGAAAGGCCAACAGGCGAATTGGCCGCTTTATATGGCTGCAGTGGTCATAAATCTTGGCCGCGACGCCAACGGGTGGCTGGGTGGCTGAGTGGTTGGGTGGTTCGTAACCAACATTCTGTATTTTTTCACACGTTCGGCCACTGAATAATTAAGCACCCTATACATAGTATAAGCCAAAAATTGCGTCCGACAACATGTTGCCTGTGCGTGTGGGTCACTTATTTTCCCACCAGCCTGACAGCACGTGCTGATTCCTCCGGCGAAAGGGCTGAGCCGCGACTCGGCGCGCGCCTTGAACTTTACCATTAAAATGCGCTTCCACTACAAAATAACAAACAGGTCAACCACCACACGCAGGATCGATTTTAGAGTAACTTTAAATTATATCATTCCCCAAAGGTCGGCCCAAAAATCGATGGGAATCAGTGGAAAAATTTAATTTCATCATCAAATATTTATTTATTGGGATACTTGTAGTAGGCGGAAGAGGCTACCACTGACTTGTATAATTAAAAGTTTTAGAAAGTAATGAAATATTAACAGTTGAATTCGATCGTTGTTTGTAAATAATTTGAGAGAAACCAAAGAATTGATGTAACTATTTGGCACAGGGTCTTACAACAAAACCTAATTCCTCCATGGTCATGGGCCGTGCACTACACTGACTATCTTATCTCTCTTTATAAAGCATTTAATTATCTGTACCATAGCATGACCCGTATCTTTAGAAAAAATAGAAGTTTATGATACAACAACGAAACGGATATACAACACATTATTCAGGGAAGGGTATACAAATAGTAAACGCCTTTTCTATTTAAATTTTGCCTTTACTGCGTAATTGAAATGAAAAATCAATGCCGTAAATTATTTGTGTGGAAACAAATGAAGCACTCGTATTTTTTTCATCAGCGTGCTAATAAGAGAAAGCCAATAAATTGTGTACCCCTTGTGGTATGGAATGTGTACGCAGATAATGCTTAGATATACATGCAAAACAGTTTTTAGCAATATTTGGCACGGTCATCCAACAACGGCACCTCTATAAATAGGTCATACACACACACACTCTCAGAAACAATACTTATACATACTGCCAGATCCAATGGGGGCCAAGTTCAAGCTCGAGAACGCGAACGTGAATTTCGCTGAATTCGTGTAACATGCAGTGTGTGTTGGCGGGTTGTCATAAATTGCCAATTGGCTGATGTTCAAGGCCAAGCGAACATGCGGGTACCACCAATTCTTGTACTACTTGCACTTTTCTTAGGGCATACAATTCAAATTGCATAAGTTTTATTGCCTACCCACAAATAAGAAGCATTTTCGAACACTAACTAATTTTTATTATGGCCTAAAAGTGCCAAAAATACCTGTAAATAAATTAAGAACAATGCCCAGAAATCTTGACAGGGAAATGATGACCTTGAAGCTTAGTTAAGGTGTACCTAAAGAGCTTCAAAACCCTTTGCTGCAAGCTTTTTATAGCCTGTACCCAAGGGGTCCGTCTGTCTGTCTGTCCGTCTGTATGAACGCAAGGATCTCAGAAAGTACAAGAGCTAGAATAACCAAACTTGGTATTCAGGTTCTCCTGAGCCCTAAGCACATCAAGTTTGTTTATCTTTTCTTATGCACCCCCCACTCCCCCACAATTCTTGTGTTTCCCATAACCCCCGTAATTCTTCGAATTCAAATTTTTTTTAAACTTGTTTTTTGTGGGGTGGGTAATGGGTATTTAAATGTTAAGCCCGCTAAAGTCTAGCATTTCTTTCTTGTTAAAACTAGTTTTGAATGCCATTGATTCCCCGCATTAAATGTATAGAATTATTGTTTATTCCTAATTTATAAATCGCTACATCACCGTAGAATTTGTTCAGGAGTCTGCTGCCCTATTTCACGAACTTCTTGCCGGTGATAAAGACTCCTCTTTTCTTCTTGGTCTCTTCGACTTGGCCGTTCCCTTGAGATTTACACGTGGATTCCGTACCATTCGATTGCCAATTTGTGGATCTAAACATTTCATGTGTTGTGCTCCAATTATAATATTTTTTTGACAAGCACTCCATTAAGACTTTTTCATCATTAATACACTTGCAACTTGATTCAGACAATCTCTAATCCCATCTTACTTCACTACTTGTTCCACTTTTTTAATTTCATTTTAAGTTATACTATGTATTATATTGAATTCTTTTGTATATTTATAATTTTTATTATTATTATTATTATTTTTTTTTTATATGCAATTCTTTTTTATATTTATAAGTTTTTTTATATTCATTATTATTTTATATTGTTTTTTCTTTTTGGAAAGTTATCAGTTCTTTGTTAAACATAAGTAAATAAAAAATTCCTTTAAATGTATCACAACTCAAGACAAGCCTTTTTATAAGCCGAATGTTAAGTATAGTAAAATTGTCTATAGGCTTAGTTATAAATCAACTATTTAGCTAAATTTTAGGCCACCAATACTGAAACAATTCTCATATAAATTGTACACAAAATCTTATCTACTATATTTCCTAACACAGGCCTACGAGCGTCGCTTCCCCAAATGCCCACAAATGCCAATCGTGCTCGATTGTGAGATCGTCAAGGACGAGTCCTTGGAGAATGGCGCCAAACGGAACACCAGTCGTCGCTGCAAATTGGCCGTGGATGCGCCATACATCTTCAAGAAGCTCATCGGCGTCGATTTCGTCTTCTTTCTGCAGCACAACTATCTCGATATGGCGAACCGTACGCTCAGCATAGAGGCCGTCAACGAGAGCTTCTCCTCGCGCATTGAGATCTTCGAGCGCTGTCGCTACTACGCCCATCCGGACAATGCCGAATGGACGTGCTTCGATCAGACTGCCACGCTGGACATCAAGAATTTCTTTGGTTTCGAACATTCCATGGAAAAGATGGGCATGAAGCAGTATACACAGACAACGCTGAAGGGCAAAGAAATCATTGAGTTCTTCATCAACCAACTTAAGGAAGAGGGTGTTACGGAGGTGGAACGTTGGACACCGCCCATAGATGGCCCCAAGTCGCCGCTGAAGGAGCAGGCGGCAGTGGCGGCAACATCGCTGACAGCGGATCAGCGTCACGACATTCTTCTCGACGGCGACTTCATAGCTCGCAGTCTTGGCCAGCTGTCGCCCATGCAGGAGTCGAAGCTGCTGGAGCTGCGAAAAATGCTCGATGGTGTTGATGATCTGGAGCGCATGCCCAGTTATCAGACCATATTGCGTTTTTTGTCAGCACGCGACTGGCATGTCAATCAGGCCTTTGCGATGTTGTGCGATTCGCTGAAATGGCGACGCGAGCATCGCATCGACGCTTTGCTTGAGGAGTACATGAAGCCGGCGGTAGTGGTGGAACATTTTCCCGGCGGCTGGCACCATCACGACAAGGATGGTCGGCCTATTTACATATTGCGACTGGGACACATGGATGTGAAGGGTTTGCTCAAGTCCCTGGGTATGGAGGGTCTGCTGCGCTTGGTGAGTGCGAACTTATAATTGGATTAATAGATCTTACTAAGCTCCCCACTGTCGCTTTTCTCTCAGGCCCTGCACATTTGCGAGGAGGGCATACAGAAAATCAACGAATCGGCCGATCGTCTCGACAAGCCTGTGCTCAACTGGTCCCTTCTCGTTGACCTCGAGGGTCTTTCGATGCGCCACCTCTGGCGCCCAGGCATCAAGGCCTTGCTGAACATCATTGAGACTGTCGAGCGGAACTATCCAGAAACAATGGGCCGTGTGCTGGTGGTGCGTGCCCCACGCGTGTTTCCCATTGCCTGGACTATAGTGAGCGCTTTCATAGGTACGAGTAAGACTAAGTATTATAAGAAACTATTTTCACAGCCATATAAAATATTGAATTAGATGTTGGTTTGTAGGTTATCCTTAGTTTAAGGGTCCGATTAACCGTCGGCATTCACACGCAGTGGGAAAGATATTGCAATGCAATTCGCTTTTTATAGCTGCCAGGTTTTTTCAGATGTAGGGACTGAAGAAGACAGTATAATCGAGTCGGATGTTAGGGTTCCACTCATTAGGTACTCAGAGATAGTGTCTAAAAATTAAAACTGCTTCAAATAAGTCAATTGGTTAACAAATTCTATCTTAAGTGGAAAAAGATAAGGTGGGAACCCAACCACGCATTGTCTTGTTGTGTGTTGCTATGTTGCGTAAGCCCAAAAGATTTACAACATTTCTCATTTCATATATATCATTTGATTCTTCACAGACGAGAACACCCGCTCGAAGTTCCTGTTCTATGGCCCCGACTGTGCGCACATGAAGGACGGGCTCACGCAGTACATTGATGAGGAGATCGTTCCCGACTTTTTGGGCGGACCTTGCAAGGTGAGTTGCAGTTATTAGTGGGTGCTGGTTGGGGCATTGTAGGTGTGTTCTCTGCGAAATCGGTTATAACAGCAATAACAGTTACTTTTGTATATGTATTCTTTTATTGTCATGTATTTGCCGCGCCTTTGTTTTCATTCCTTCAACTACTACTGGCGCTCAGACATATATGTCGCATGTGGAACAAGTCAATCAAAAATACCTAACGCATTGTTATTTAGCTGAATGCGATTGTGTAAGCAGCTCCTATTCTTCTATGCCAAGCAATAGCAAAAATCAAAAAGCAACTGCAACTGCAACGACATTGTACCTATTTAGATCTAAAGTGCCGTGCCGTTCATTCTTTCTTTCCTCACACATGTTTTTTGTCGCCTTTATTTTGTTTTAAGTACTACAAGTATATGTATGAACTATGTATGTATGTCAAGTCTATAAGCGTTTTATTCCTTCCTAATCTTTGTTGTGCGACGCCTTGCTGCGCTTTGGCTTAGCCGTGACATCCACAGAACCGTTTCATTGTCCATAGCGTTCATGCATACATATGTGTCCTTGGTCCTTTCTCTCTGCGTCAAAAACTCTTTTTGAAAAGCTTGGCCAAGCAGTTGCAATGTTCTGTCCTAGATTATTCAACAAATACACAACTATAGTCTCCGTCCTCTTCCCAACCCAGACAATGATCCACGAAGGCAGCCTCGTACCCAAGACACTGTACAAGATGGGCTCGCTGGAGGAGCAGGACGATGAGACGCCGGCGATATCGCGCACACAAGTCGAGGAGGTGAAGCGTCTGTCGAGTGTACATCACGACCATCGCAATCTCTACAAGACGGTGGAGCTGAAGGCAGGATACACACACGAGCTGCTCATACGCAACGAGGATCCGAAAAGCGTCCTCACCTGGGACTTTGATGTTTTGCGCAACGATCTGCACTTCACGCTCTATCGTGTAACACAGGACCTGCCGGACAAGAGTGGTGAGTCCTTTTCCAGATACAGGCATTAGCTGCTGCCTTTGGTCGTTTTTAAAGGGGGATTTCAGGATATTTTTACTGAGTGTTTTACATAGTGTTTAATATCCATGTCCATCTCGTAATTTTCAGACTCGGCTGTCTCCTATTTTGATTTGCCGGACTTTGTGGAGGGTGTGAACTATTTCCGGGAGGAGCCGACTCTGGTGTGTCGGCATAAGGAGAGCGTCCAGGGCTCGCATGTTATGCATCACAACGACAGCTATATTATGCATTGGTTCAGCCCGTCGGAGGCTCAGCTCAATCTCTTCTACGAGGTGCTCAGCTCGGTCAACTACAAGGGCTCCATGACCAGCTTGCAGTCGGCCTTCTCATCGAACTCGTCGGCGGCAAGCTCATGTCAGAGTCGATGATACGAGTTGAGTCGGCAGGGCGTTAACGCACACACTACGACGCCCCCGGCAGATGAGGTGACCGATATGGGGCTGCTCTCCGGCACCCTAATGGAGAAGACGTTGAACCTGTTTGACTCGTCGGATGTATTTTTTTAAGCCAGAAAAGTTGCAATCTCAGTTGTTTAGTTTAGCAGTTTAGTAAAATTTTAGTTTGAAGACACCTATGTACTATTTTAATCAATTGTGTGTAGCACTCGTTTGTTAATTACTATATTTTCATTCTATATTAGAAAGTATACATTATATTTTGTAACTATGTTAAGCCTAAAGTGTTGAACCTGTGAATTGCGTTTTAAGTCTTACGCCAATCAGCAACGACTTTTACGTGAGGTTGTACAACAATTTCAATTAATATACTTATCAAGAGCGTGCACGTCTGCCGCAATTTTCTCATTCATTTCCAAGCAAGTCAATTAGTCCATTTTAGCAAGTAGTAGCTGCATGCTTGTATATGATACATACGTATATGATATACACAGATACAAACAACGTAATAATTGTAAAGCAGATGATTTTATAATGCTTTTTATAACGATAATTTATAATTTTTAAACGAAATTGAAATACTTATTCTAGAAATGTTTTGGGCTATTCCTCGCTCGAGCAACCTATGAGATCTATCTAACCAATGACTACATGTTACCTAATTAGTTTAAATTATGGCAAAACTGAAGAACAAAAGAAATTTTTAGCCTATTAAAATAATTTTAAAATTGCAAAACCTATTATATCACATTTTTAGAGTACGAAGTTTGCTGCGCATATTATACAATATAAAGCTAAGAACATGATAATCAGTAACTATATGGAATCTATTTCAAATGCAAACTGCAGTGCATGTTAACTAAGTGTATAAGCTAAAATAAACGAATCCAAATCAATGTGTTTCTCTCTTTAATCTCACTCAATGACTGTTTCGGAAAAACCCTAAAAATACTATTTTACGAAACTTTCCCTTGAACACAAATACCAATAATAAATACTGAATATATGTACATCCTTATCTTGACGCTTATCTGAACAAATCGAGTAGACGACTGGGCCTACACGACTGTCACAGAAATACAAGTATAAGAGCTGGCGCTGACCACTCTCGCCACTAGTTGATCAATAACCATAAAAGCAAATTGCGGATAAGCGTTAAATTTGGCTTATCACCTAATGACCGGCCTATTAAAAGAAAAGTTTTTGGTAACAACCGAACAGTTCGAGCGTAACATTGCCAGTTAACGGATTGACAATATGGTTGTACTCAACATTAAAAAGTGAGTGTATAAATAAATACATACTATATGTAAAGTAAAATGTGTGTGGGGGAATACGTGACTGAATTCTGTTTCCGGACTGGTTCAAAGTACAGAACAAATTTTATTTTACAACTATTATAGTTTGTCTGTGTGTTTGAAACTTGTTACTACAAATATCGTGGGGTTTTTGTTTTAAAATTTAATGTTATACTACACCTTATTCTGTTTTTACACGGTAGATTGGTTCCTAAAAAAGTCCTGATAAATTGAAACCGTGTAGAAGACTTTGATCATATGCAAAATGAATCGTGCTAAATGCAATAAAGTCGTGTAAGCATATATACAAATTTGTAATGTTCAAATCGTGTTAAGTCAAAACTGTGTTAAAAAAGGTCGTGCAAAAACAGAACGTGTAAAAACAGAACTAGGTGCATGTATGTAGCTTAATTTATATTTTGAAAGCTCTCATAAAAATATCTCCTTTGAATTATTTTTAAGCTTGTAATACCAATATGTATTTGAGAAAAAAAGTTTCCTTTGATATCTTAAACCAATAACGGTTATTGACATAAATGTATGATTTTTTTCTTGTCAAAATAATTGTGCCGAGCAGTGTAATTGGTTTTCTGCATTAATTAAGTTGAAAACCAACCGCTGGAGATGACTTGCAAATCATTTTAATTAATTTTTTCAAATATATTCTCAAATATAATTATTTTACATTGAGAAGTTTCAAGTTTGTATTTTCCACTGTGAGAAAAGGAAATTCAAAATACACTGAGAAGCGTGTACGTGACTTAGTGAGAACTCCCATCTCTAGTGAGTACACTTGCACACTCGATTAGTACTCGCATCGTTTCTGCGATGGCTAAACAGAGCGGGGACCACTTGTCCGAAATTCTCAATGAAGTTATTAATTCTTATAACAACAACAGCGAGGAGCTGGAGCATGGCCAACAGAAGGAGAACATATTGGAGGACAAGCTGATCTTTCCCGATTTTCGCAGCGGCCCGTTGGACGAATATAGAAAGAAAGCAAGCTTCTGTTACAAGCGCCTCAACATTGTGCTCGAGGGAGCCGACCACATCCGGCTGAAGGTAAGCGTAATTGCCACAATTAAATGCAAATTACACATACATATACTTGTACACATTGAAATGTAAGTGAAACAAATAAATGGTCAAGTATTGGGTTTAAAGGTCAATGTTTGCATAGCCGACGAAATCATTATCGCCCCTTTTTATCAGTTTGCGGCGACTTAGACTCGCGAAACCGCCTTATCTTCTGGAGTGTCTTCTTAGAATGTAATCAATAAAGAGCTATTTACAACGTCTCCTCCTCCCTCCAGCACAAGGTCTGGCAATGGATGGAACAGCACCCCGATTTTCAGAGAGAGCCGGAGGTGCCCAGTTTGGAGCGAACACGTCAGTTGGCCAATAAGAGGCACCATTTGCTCTGGGAGCAGAACTTTTTCGGCGTCAACGAGGTGGGTTTACAAATACATATACTACTTGCATATATGTTCATACTCGCATTAATAATTTAATTTCTTTTAGTACCTCTCCACGCCACATTTGCTGCTGGCATTTGGACAGGCCATCTTCAGCTATGACTTCAGCGCCTCGGTCAAGTTTTCTCTCTCGAATGGCATGTTTCCCAGCACTTTGGTGTCCAATGGCACTGGACGCTTGGGCAAGTATGTGGCCAAGATAGCAGATAATCGCATACTGGGCGCCTACGCGTTGACCGAAATCTCACATGGCACCAACGCGCTGGGCATGCGGACACGCGCGACTTACGATGTGAAGACGCAGGAGTTTATTATCCATACGCCGGACTTTGAAGCGGCCAAGTGTTGGGTGGGAAACTTGGGCAAGACCTGCACACATGCCATTGTTTATGCGCAGCTCTATGTGCCGGATGATAAGCATCAGGGCTTGAACATGTTCCTGGTGCCTATTCGCGATGAGCGCACGCTGTTGCCCTTCCCGGGCGTCACAGTCGGTGATCTCGGCGAGAAAATTGGCCTCAATGGCATTGATAATGGGTAAGAGGGCAATTGATTTTATAATTCCATTAAATATGAATCTCCTTTTTCTCTAGCTTTGTAATGTTCGATCGCTATCGCATTCCGAAGGCGAACTTGTTGTCCAAGACTGGCGACATTGACGAGCACGGCAATTACAGCAGTCCCATTAAGGACAATCGCAAGCGCTTGGGAGCTTCATTGGGCGCCTTGTCTGCCGGACGTGTCAATATTTGCGCCATCACGTACGTGGCCCTCAACAAGGCGATCAGCATAGCTACGCGCTATTCGGTTAGTCGCCGCCAGTTCGCTCCGAACGACAAGGCGGAGGAGTGGCCCGTCATTGAGTATCAATCGCAGCAATACCGGCTGCTGCCCTATTTGGCCACCACGATCGCGATGCGCGTCGTTACACTGTGGATTGGCATCGAGAACACAAACATGACTATGAAGGGGTTCATGGGCGAGGACACTTCGAAGATGGGCATGGAAATTCACGCCATTTCGTCGGCTCTCAAGCCAGCCTGCACCTGGGCGGCCCGGGATGGCATTCAGGAGTGCCGCGAGGCCTGTGGTGGTCATGGCTATCTCAGGGCAAGCGGTCTGGGCGATTTGCGCAACGACAACGATGCCAATTGCACTTACGAGGGCGAGAACAATACTCTGATACAGCAGGCCTCCAACTGGTTGGTCGGGTTGCGTCGCAGCAACGCAGACTTCCAAGATGTCTCGCCTTTGGGCACTGTGGCGTTCCTGAAGGACGCCAATCTTCTGCTAAAGGCTCAGGCTAATGAGCGTAGCGTGCTGGAGGCCCTGGATGTGAACAGTAAGTAGAATTCCATCAGTCCATCTGTCTGTTCTGAAAGGCAGCTTTTGGTGCATAAAGGGTCTGCGTTTAAGTACTTGGTGTGAGAAGCGCAGAGGAGGGCGGTTTTTCAATTTATTTTTTTTGAAACATAGTTAATTGCAACGATTTTGCGTTAAATTATTGACTTCAGTTAAGTACTTAATGTGAGAAGCGCAGAGGGCGGGTTTAAATTTATTTATTTAAAAAAGTATTAATTGCAACGATTTTGCATTGAATTATTGACTTCAGTTAATTGCTTGGTGTGAGAAGTGCGGAGAGGGGCCGTGTTTGAAAAATGAAAAAATGATCCGTTTTTTCAAAAATAAATTGATTGTAACATTTGTTTTAAAAAAGAATTAATTAGAAGCGCGGAGAAGGGCTGTGTTTTTAATGTAATCATTAAAATGCATGTAATTAATAGGTGTATTGGTTATATAAGCTTTCGGCCTCGCAGCAAACTAAACTTGTTCTGGCTTTATTATTTTATTGTAGATATTCTAAAAGCTCTTAACTGGTTGACCGCCTGGCAGTTGGATAAGACAGTCGAACGTTTCGAGGAGCTTCGCAAAGCTGGCCGAGATGCTTTCGAAACGCGTAACAACATTCAAGTGTTTGCCGCACAAAAACTATCCATCATCTACGCAGAGGTGGGCGAGCATCCAGTACCCACCATTGCTGATTTCGAGTAACACTTCTATTCTTTACTTTCCAGCACACCATGTACTATGTGTTCCACAGATTTGTCACCGAGCTGCCGGCTTCCGCTGAGAAGGATATTCTGGTGAAAGTGTTGGCCTTTTACGGTGCGAATTTGGTGGCAAAGTACTCGGCACTTTTCTACCAAGGTGGCTATTTCCGCAACAACGCGCACATCGAGCTCTACCAGCGGGGCATACTGGAGCTACTGCCTGTGCTGAAGGATCAGTCCATAGCGCTGGTGGATGCCATTGCGCCCACAGATTTCATACTCAACTCGCCACTGGGCATGAGCGACGGCAATGTGAGTGGAGGAAGGTGTTGTGTGTAACGTCCGTGCTAATGCCTTTGATTTCCTGTTTTAGGTGTACCAGCATTTACAGCGCACCATTGTGTCCACGCCTGGCGTTTACGAGCGTCCGGATTGGTGGCGCGAAGTCACATACAAAGATTATTTAAAACGCGCCAAGTTGTGAACCAGAGTATTTGTAGGCGTTATTCCCTTTACTTAAATGCTTAAACACGGGTGATTTGTGCATTATTATCACTATTTACTACACTCATAGAAAATCATTGTTATACATTTGGTTAGGTTTTAATCTTACGTACGATCACAGTCAAAAAACGGCGTGGATGTTGCTAAATAAGTTATGTACATACGATATCGATCTATCAAAATATAAACTAAAACACAGTAGATACAGAAGAATTTTACTAAGCGATTGCGACGACCAGAAGGCCGTTCTGTGCGTCGAGTGTCAGGGAGGTGAGGCCTCTGATCCCGACCCGGAACCGGACTCGTAGAACTCTGGGGGCATTGTGTGCGCGTATTGTTCCAGCTTAGTTAGCTCGCCTCCCTCCGTCTGCACGAGCATCGGTATTTGCTGCGGCAGATCGCTAGTGGCCCACAAATACAGATCCAATGTCTTCTCCGTGCAGTCGGCAATGAAGCGGACAAAGGGTCTGATGTCGCCCTCATTGGCCAGCTTGAGAAAGTGATAGTATTTGCTTCTCTGCTGTTTGGGAATGATGACCGGCGGGTAGCCAGCGCGCATGAGCAGCGTGTTCATGAGGAGGCGGGAGGTGCGTCCGTTCCCATCGATGAACGGGTGGATGTGGACAAGCTTGTAGTGGGCCAAGGCGGCATAGCTATTGAAGAACAATGGCGAACAATGTACAAAACGCAGTTGGAGACACCAAACTACAGGCTTACTTGACAGGATGCAGGGACATGCTTTGCTCCGAGTTTATCCAGCGTTCGAAGCGTTGCATTAGCAATGCCAGGTCGCCAGGCCCAGGCGGCACATGCCCACCCACATACACCTGATTGCGACGAAATTCGCCGCCCTCAATGGGATCCACGTGGCCGAGCACGCGTCGATGTATCTCTAAAATGTCTTTCAGAGTCACCTCCATTCTGTGGGGCAAAAATGGCATTTATAGAGGGTTTTCCCCAATTACATAGCATTATATATCGACTTACTTCTGCACCAGACTGGCATTGATATACTTCATGGCCAGATCCATGCCCAAAATTTCGTTGTGCTCGTCTATTGACTTGCCATCGATGGCTGTGCGCGTCTCGAGTATGGAACGTGTCTGGGCCAGCGTCATGGTGTTCCCCTCGATGCCCACAGAATGGTAGATGTGCTGAAAATAAGCCTCTTTTTTGGCCCGACGCAGTGCAGAATTGGCCTCGTGTATGGCGGAGAGGGCGTCTCGTTTTGCATCCAAAGAGGCCAAGCGGCGCTCGTCCAGCGACTGCACAACGCCTGCTGTGCGCTGATGATTGGCCAAAGCTTCTGAGTTGCTAGGATTAATGGTAAGCGCTTGGAAGTAATACTGATCGGCCAACACTATGTTGCGCTGTTTGTGCTCGAGGAACTCGCCGTATCGTAACAATATCTCTGGGTGCTTTGGCGCCAGTGCTAGTGCATGTTCGAAAAGACGTAGCGCCTTCTCGTCCTTGTTCGCCAAATGCATTTCCTGAGCCAGACGCAGGGCACCCAACGCCTCCTTAATGTTCGTCTGCTCCGCTTCCGTGTAGCTTGTGCCAACACTGTCACTAACACTCTTGTCGTAGTACTCCTTGAAGGCGTTCAACTCCTCCACCGAGTAAACCGCAAACTCATCCCGCGTCTGCAAATAGTGGGCCGTCGGCAGACGATACATCTGGCGCAGGCGCCACACACCTCCAAGCCAGCCACCCACGCCCATTTGGCTGTGTGTTACTGTATGGAAAACGTAGGCCACGAAACTGCCCAGAATCATGAATAGTGCAAATCTGTAGGACAGTGTGATTCGGAAACTCTTTCGCTCTATTCCAGCACTTCGCTTGCGGGGATATACTTTGTTTGTGTTAGTGGGCGGTGTTGGGCCGGAGACGGAGCACTCGTCAGAGCAGTTGTCAAGCGTGGTCGGCGTTTTGTCTTTGCCCACAATGCCCATTGTTGTGGTTGTTTGAGCTCGAGCTCTACGACAGTTTATGTTTCACATTAATTTTGAACACGTTACACAAAAGACACATTTTCACACAAGTCCCAATGACCAGCCAATCAGTCAGTCGTCTACCACGTATTTATTTGTGCTTATGCTAGGGGCAGTGTAACCAAGTACTTGGCAAAAACTGGCAGTGCTGCCAAGTTGCCCAAGCTTTAGTTTCACATTTTTACACCAGCTGGCACTTTTCTTAGCTTGCATACATAAACGCTAGGTGGCATGGACTGATATTAGAATCAATACTTAGTCATAGATTGTTTTAGAATCGAGCTTCATGCAAACCGGCTGGTAATCAATTCATTCAGTAATTAATTCAATGTCTGTTTTGCAATATTTTTCGTGTGTCCGAACTGTAGCACCGAATGAACGTACGAATTTCCAAGAAACTACGCTGCTTATGAGTAACACACTTATTTCTTGTCCCCCGGTCAGGGTATTTATAATTCCCCCCTGGATTCCACAACATCTATTGTGTTGTCTGTCACAACAAACAATTTCTCACAGCTTGCCAAACATACATAGGTAGTCAATGAATGATTTATGACGAAAAACACTTGAATTTCTTTTGCGTTAACAATCTAAATACGCGCAAGCTTAATGCCAACATTTCTGTGGTTGCATGCTAATTTTTGGTTCTAATTTCAAGAGTAAAAGCCACAAATAGGATGCACGTTTTTCCCCAGCTGTGCAGGTTTTTGGCTACCAATTTGGATTAAAATGACAAAATTATTTTGATTTTATGCCTTAAAAAGGTCATTTCACATTTACCGATATTATTGCAGAGTCTTGGTTTATTTTTTTGCGCATATACCTATGTTTGTATAATGGCTTCATTAGAAATAGTTTTTCAAAACTTATATCAACATAATTCTTCTTAGCATTGTAAAGATTTAATAAATTGTGTAATCATTGAAAAATTTAAAAACCTTAAAAGGATCACAATAATGGTTGGAACATCAAACTTCTTTATAAAAGTATGATAATAGTATGGGCCCAGAATAGTGATATGATTATAATTATAATATACATGTATTCATGAATTATAAACCAAACTAAGTAGAAGCGTTTTAAAATGTAAAAATGTGATATATTAAGAACTAATTATCCTGAAACTAGAAATTGTAGGCTTCATTTAAATTTTACGAAACCACCACCGCTTAATTTCAAAATTTAAGAATAAATGTGAATATAGGAATGTTTTACAATTGTGAGCGCAGAATAGCTTTTGAATGAAATGTAGAATATGTTTGTTTATCGAATTCTAACTCAATATAATTCATTACCAAACTTAAATGATATTAAAGAAATAAATATATTAAAGAATTTTCGAATTTTGAAGACAGAATTGTTTCAATAATAAATGCTTTTTGAAATTCTCTTTTATAGAAATATAATAATGAAATGAAGAGTACAAAGTTAAAATCGTGCCAGCTCGATGAACCGATTGTTTCTAAGGCCATCATATAATATAAATAGTAGTATAATGATAACAGTGTCTCTCTCACTATAATACACAAAAATTTCGCAACAATATCTAATATGCAACTAAATATTTGGTTTTTTTTTACCGATATTTTCTTTGGCAATGATATGATCAACCAATATTAATAATACTACGAGTATAATAGGGGAACTATAAAAACTCATGCAGACATCTCTATATCGATTTATCTCGACATATTGTACCATATTTGTACCTTTAACATGGATTGTGCCTTTCTAGTGCTAGGGTACCGGGTATTAAAATTGAGTTGGGAACTTTAGAAATTTGAAGTGTGGGTTTTCTTGGCTTGCACTCAAAGCTTTTCTTTGTATACTTCTTCCTTCGACGTACAAAACTGGGAATTGCGGATTTTTAGTTTGGTTTCTCTTTCGTCGAATAATTTATATAAGCTCGAAGGCGACTATACATATATATCTGCGGCTATAGCTTAGGTGAAGATTTAGAGGCGTTTGCACTCGCACATTGCAGTTCCTCTGATTGTTTTGAATCACCCGGAGACTGACTGCGGGCGCTGCATTGACCCCCACGCGTATAGTCGGTATGACATGTTCTCTACACTCGACCCAGTCATGTAACAAGCTCTGCTGCAACGCATGAGATCACGCATTGAAATACAAATCGGCGAGTCGTATTCTGTTTTTTGTTGATCTATTGCCAGAAGCTGCAAACAAAACCGAAGCAGTTGTGAATCACGGCAGTCGATCAACAAATTCTGCTATGAAGTCATTATAATATAAGTCGCAAAACCGGCATAACGCTTTACCTGTGACGTCGCCGCTCAAGGCTGTGTCTTGAATAACAATATTTTGGCGTATTTTCCAAAAAACACGACCACGATTAAAATGTTTTCCTCATCGATGCTGATAACAGCAGTCGAACCGGCAAACATTTCTCATCTGTCCCCTATTCAGCTCTCTGAATAAGATGTTTCGTAGAATATACTCTACACTAGGCAACAAATTTTTCAAATGCTGCAAACCGTTTTTCTAGCTGCACTCGAAAAAAATTATTTCACTTTTAATAAAGAATAGCGTTTCTTTCATTTTCTATAAATTTAAGGAGAGTTTTCTTTAAAAAAAATAATCGAAAATGGGAAATATCTCTTTTTGAATTTTGAGAAATACCAGCCTTTTTAGATTCTAAGGAAAATTTAACTGAATTTTTACACGTTTAAGATGCAATTAGCTGTGTTTTAAAAAACGAATTGCAGCTAAATAGTAATTTTTGAAATATGATAGCAGTTTATGGTTTTAAAACAATTCCACCTACATAAGCAATTTCTTTCTTTAGTTATTTAGCTGAAGTTCTCTATTGATTTTTTTTCTTCTTTCTTTTTTTACATCAACAGCTTTGTTTGTCGATGAAATAAATAAATAAGCAATTAATACTTGCATAATTATGTTAAAAGAAAAGAGGCCTTATTTGAATCGCATTTTTGAATTGCTTTTTTCACGATTTAAAACCATCAGTGATTAATTATTTAAAAAAAAATTGCTTACTGCTGAAGATATATTTTAGTTTGCATAAATAGATGAAAATATAATGAAATTTTATTTAATCGTATGTGTTGAACAGATTTGAAATTGTTAAGGCCTTTGAATCGTAAAAAGTGTTTCTATTGGGCTGAAAATAATAAAATACGAAAATTAAAAAATACACTTCTCTCTCAGGTAGTGCAGGCAAAAAATTTTAAATATTTTTAATAAAACTTTTAGGAAATCAGTTCGTCCGTAGACTAACCGACTAGTTTACTATAAAATGTAGCTATCATCGGACTTAGGAGAAACTTTATTATAAAAGCTTACTGAAACAGAATGGCCAAGAATCCACAACTCTTATTCAAATACAAAAATTTGTTTATGTTTCGAGTGTGAGTTAATAATGTTGGGAACTCGCGTTTTGTTTTTGTTGCGCAGTGACATAAGACGGCGGAAGCTGGATGATTCGAATAAATGCGCAACGTTCGGCACTCAGTTGTCAGTTGCTGTTTGGTCGCGCGACGAGGCGCTACGATTTAAGCGAGTGGAAGTGGATTTGGAATTTGAATTGGAAGTGGAAGTGGAAGTGACGGTGCTTTTGTAAAAGTGAATTCGTGTCATTCGGGTTATCCTGTGACCGCACAGTGAACTCTTTTCTATTTGGAACTGTGTTTGCACGAATACAAGTGCGCGGCTGCGTTTGCAGTCCATTCAAGTGAAAGTGAGTAAGATTATTCGAAAATATATAGCATGAATGGCTGATATTCGTAGCTTAGGCGTAAATGTGAATATCGCTGAAACTGTCCGCATGCAAGTCAAAAATAGACTGCAACAGAGAGACGGACGTTGTCAGCATCTAAATTAGTTGATGATCAGCATGAATGTCGCAGCTCGTTCCGAAGCTGCTACTTGCAACTAATTTTGGAGAAGCGGCCAGGAATATGTGACCTAATTGAACGATGTGTAGATTCCAGGTGTTGATTTATGGGCCAATGCTGCTCGAACAACATACAACATACCGGGCACATATTGCGGCCATATAAATCCACTTACGAGCACACATACTTGTATTTATAAATATATTTTGTAAAGTCTAAAGACTATGAATTATCAATAGCAGGCCGTTGCGCACCGGATGGAGCACATACACGTACGAGTACATACATATATAGATGAAATAATTTTTAAAAATAATAATTGGGTGCCAAAAAAAAAAAGAAGGAAAAGAAGAAACACAACTCGACAATGACACCATAAAGCGGGCTGGTAGCCTAAAGTTGAGCAAACCAGTGGTATTGGTATTTGAATTATCGGCGGCAGGCTGGAGGAACCTTTGCTGACCCGATCCGGCGATAATACGTCGCGTTGTCTGAACTAGATTTAAGTTGCGCGCTTATCTGCACCGAGCACCGAAAAAATTGACACACACACACACACACATACAATCAAAGAATGATGATTACTTACAATTTGTATTACTTACAAGTACATGCCGTTGTATTTACAAAATCGATTTATGAATGACACAGTTTCTTTCTATCTAATCCGTAATAGACAAATGAGAGCATTCGGCGTCTGCTGTGTGCTGCTCTTGGCGCTCACAAGCAGCTGGGCCTTCAGCGCCTATCAACGGGGCGGCTTGGCGGGCTATACGAACGGCTATCAGAGCCAGGCTAGCTACAGTTCTGGCTACAGTTCCTCGTCCTCCTCATCATCATCCCTGGGCTCCAGTTCCGCTGGTTATGGCGGCGCACAGCTACGGAGCCATTCGGTCGAGGTTGTGGAGTTTGCCAATCGACTGAAGCAGGAATTTAATCAATTATCGCGTGGTATCAATAGTTTCGGCATTGGAACCTCCTGGAGTTGTAAGTGCCAGTTAAGAAACTCCGTACGGAATCATTTAATTCATTATTCACATCTCTCTCTTCTAGCTAACATACTCCAGCTGACTGGCAAGAGTTCCAGCGAGTTGAACGCGTTAAGCCGACAGATTACTCAGCAACTGGTCAGTGACATGAATCGCGGTGCGATCAGCTACACAACCATTGCTCAGCCCAACTTTTTTGAGTCCAAAGCAGCCGAGGTTCTAGATCAATATACGTCCAGTGTACAGCATACCCTGGACATCAGTGACCACGGTCAGCCCCTCGATCTGAGCAAGTATGACGAGGTCAAAAACTATGCCTACCCCACCGAGATCAAGGTCGTGAATGGCAAGACCTACATGGTGCACAGAAACTGTACTGAGGCTACCAAGATTACGCCCAGCTATAGCAGTTTGGTCATAGGCGGTGCCAACACGGGTGCCGCCCTTAACAGCGGCTTCTACGCCCAGGGTCCCAGCACCACGACCATCACCCGCAAGAATACCGTGTACAATTGGGAGCCCAGTGTGGTTGGCTACAGGCCGGTGGTTACTATAGATGGCCTGAGAGGCGCAAACACTGAAATCAACGCACCCACATCTCAAGTGGTTATAACGCGTGTGAATAAAACAATCAATAGGAATGCCGATGGTACCAACTCTGTTGCCGGTTCACAAAGCCAGCAACGTTGGGTCGACGGCAAACTTGTCTTTGATAGCTCCCAGCCATTCGGGCAGTCGACGGGGCCAAGCGGCAACAACTGGGAACGCGAGGAGCGCGAGCATCTGTTCTGGTTCTTGAATCAAGGAGCCACCTCGCCACAGCGCCTGGAAGCCTGGCAGCGGCAACAGGAGGACCGTCTCAGCGCCATGGCGTTGCGTCATCATACCAGCGTGGAAGCCATTGAGCAGTTCCATCGCCGGGAACTCGAACGATACCAGCAACTTTTGCGGCAGTACCAGACACAAAGCAGCGGGGCCAATGCTTGGCAGCGCCTGGAACGTGGTCGTCTGGACTGGCTAATACACCAGAATAGTCTCAGCGTTCACGACTTTGAGCGTTGGCAGCGTGAGAATAGCCTCAAGCTGAATCAGTTGGCGCAGCAGTATAGGATTACACCTGCGGAGCTACAGAATTGGCAGCGCGAGGAATTGCAAAGGATTTATGTGTACTTCAATAACATCAATAATTCAATGGCACCAGCCAGGCCCGCGCCAGTTCCCCTGCCCGGATCAGCCTCGTTGGTTTCTAACGAGGAACAGCAGCGTTTGAATGAACTTATCCGCCAGCACAATGAAACAATCGCCATGCTGCAGAACTCGATACAGACGGACCAGCAGAAGCTCAGGGATTTGTCAGTCAAATATCAGGGTAATGTGCAAGATATGGAAAAGTGGCTCAAGGAGGAAGTGGCGCGTATTAGCGGTCTAATTAGGGAGCAAACCGAGCAGATGTCCCGCATTACAGAGTGGCAGCGTTCGGAACGAACACGCCTCGAGTCTATACTTCGGCAACATCAGGGCTCTGTGACCGATTTGGAGCAGCAAATGGCGCGCGACCGCAACTACCTTCAGGGCTTGGCTTCGAAATATCACGTGACGATTGAAGAGCTCGAGAAATGGCAGCGCACGGAGTTACAGCGACTGCAGCGGGAGGGTCAACAAGCGCTGGAATCAAACATTAAGGAATGGCAGCTGCGCGAACGAGAGCATCTCAAGAACATTGTAAGCAAGAACGAGCTGACGCTGGAAGAGTTCCAGACGCGCATTGTTAACGATCGCGCACGACTTGAACAGCTGGCTCGCACATATAAGGTGCAGGTTACAGAGATAGAGGACTGGATAAAGAGCGAGATGAAGAAATTCCAGTCGGAAGGTCTGCTCAAAGAAGTGGAGAAGGAATTGGCCTTGTGGCAGCAGCGGGAACGTGAACGCTTACAACACATTGTACAGCAGAGTTCTCTGACTGTCGAGCAATTGGAGCAAAAGATCAAGAACGATCAGACACACTTCTACGAGTTGGCTAACACCTACCAGATACGCGTGGAGGATATACAGGACTGGCTGAAGAAGGAGCTCCTCCGACTTCAGAGTGAGGGTCTAATCAAGGCTGAGGCCCTCAAGGACTGGCAGCAAGCTGAACGCAATGAGATTATGAGAATCGTGCAGCAAAATAAGTACAGCATCGAAGACTTTGAGAAGAAAGTGCTGGCAGATCGTCGTCACTTGCAGGAACTCTCGAAGCAATACAACGTGCAAGTTCATGAAATCGAACACTGGATTAAGTCTGAGGGCGAGCGTCTACAGCGCGAAGGCCAGCTCCACATGGAGGAACAACTGAACAACTGGCAGAAGATCGAACGTCAGCGTCTGCTCGATCTAATTAACAAGAACAATCTGTCCATCGAAGAGCTGGAGGCACGCATTAAGAAGGATCAGGTGCACCTTTATAGTCTCGCACAGCAGCACCAGGTGCGTGTTGAGGAGATCGAGGAATGGATTAAACAGCAGATTGCTAAACTCCAAGCCGATGGCGTCATAGAAATGCAGAAGTTGAAGGACTGGCAGCTTGAGTGGCGTGGAAATTTGACAAATATGGTACAGGAACGCGATTTCACAGTTGAGGAGTTCCATAAATGGCTGCTGGAAGATCGCGCACGTCTTCAGCATCTAGCCATGCAGCACAATGTTCAAATTGAGGAAATCGAACAGTTCGTTAAGCACGAAGAGCAGCGATTTGTGAGCATGGGTTTGCTGAAGCCATACGAGAAGCTGACCAACTGGCAGGAGGTGGAACGCATGTACCTCAACCAGCTCGCGCAACAGCAGTACAAGTCTACAGAACAGCTGGAGGAGCGACTGCGTCAGGATCGGGAGCTACTGGAGAAAATGGCGCGTCAGTATAGCGTGCAGGTGGAGGAGATTGAAAAGTGGATGAAGCAGGAGCTGGCACGTCTTCGCGATGAGGGTCAGCTGCAGATAGATAATCTAACCACCTGGCAGCTGGCAGAGCGCGAGCGTCTGGAGGCTCTGGTCAAACAGAACAAACAGTGGAGCGTGGAGGAATTCGAGGCTGCACTTCGCAATGATCGCGAACATATGCAGACCATTGCCTTCCAACATCACACTTCCGTGGAGGAAATTGAACGCTGGGTTCAGTCTGAAATCGAGAGGTTGAAGAAGCAGGTAAGCTCAAATTTAAGCAGATGAGGCATCAAATTTCTTTACAAATACCTTCACATTCATCCAACAGGGCAAGCTGGACATAGAGCAACTGACTATGTGGCAGAAGGCGGAGCAGCAGCGTATTTTGTCCTTGCTGCAGCAACAATCGAGCATTACCGTGGAGGAGTTTGAAGAGAAGGTGCAACGGGATCGCTTGTTCCTGGTCAACCTGGCTGATCAGTATCACGTGAGCGTAGTGGATATTGAAGCCTACATTAAGAAGGTTATCGAGGATTTGCGGAAGCAGGGTCAGTTTGAAATTGAGAAGCTACAGACCTGGCAGCTGGTGGAGAGAGACTACATAAAGCAACTAATAGCACAATACAATAATGGCTTGTCGACCTCAGAGTACGAGCAAAAGCTGAGGGAAGATCGCGTCCATTTGAACCAGCTTGCCGATCAATATCGCATCAGTGTTGAGCAGATTGAGCAATGGATGATAACGGAATTGAAGCGTCTGCGTGGCGACACCGAAACGCAGCTGCAGGCATTGACCACCTGGCAGAAGGGTGAGGTGGAGCGTCTGCAAAAGCTGTTGCAACAGCAGAACCATTTAAGCTACGTAGAGTTCGAAATCGAGCTGCAACAGGAGCGCAAGCGCCTTGAACAACTGGCCCAACAGTACTCGCTCAGTGTTGTGGAGATTGAGGAGTGGTTGCGTCAACAACTGGTCAACCTGAAGACCACTGGCCAAATTAAAGTGGAAAACCTCACTAAATGGCAGGCCATTGAGCAGCAGCGTCTGATCGAATTGTTGCTAAAGCAGCAACAGGATCTCAGCTACAAAGAATTCGAACAACAGCTGCAACAAGATCGCGCCCATCTACGAGGTCTTTCGCAAACCTATCACGTGAGCGTGGAACAGATTGAACAATGGATGCGGGATGAGCTGGCGCGACTGAAGAACTCGGGACTGGTCCATGTGGAGGAGCTAACTAATTGGCAGACTGAGATGCGCAAAGAGTTCAATGTCTGGCTGCAGCAACAACAAAACGGTGCTACTTATAATGAATTTTTGAATTTCCTTAAGCGCGATAAGGAACGCTTATCCACCATTGCCCAAGAGTATCACATAACTGTTGAGGAGGTTGAGAAGTGGGTCCAAAAGGAGGCCGCGCGTCTGTCGCTAATTGGAGTCATTGAACGTCCCGAAGACAATGTAACCTATGAAGAGATTATAAAGGTCTGGCGTCAGGACAATGCTGGCTCTGGCAGTGTTATCAATAGCATTAGCAATAACGAACAACGTTGGAAGCAGCAAGCAATTTCACAGTTGAGAGGCAAAGCACTGGTAAGGCCTATGACTTGGCAGGAGTTCGAGATATATCTCGTTGAAAATCGCCCTGCTTTCGAACAATTGGCACGTCAATATAATATCACCGTGGAAGAAGTCATTGTATGGCTTAATCAATCAGCTAAAAAGCTGGTTGATGAAGGTCTCATAACCGGTACGATAACAGTAGAGGAGTGGCAGCTGCGGGAGAAGCAATACGTCAAGGATCTGATCAATCAGCAGCTGCGCAATCAGCAAAAGTGGACTATTGAAGAACTGGAACTAAAGCTGCTTAACGACCAAAAGCATCTGGCGGAATTGATACGCCAATACAATGTGACAATTGAAGAGCTGCAGGCCTGGTACAGACGCGAGTTAAAGGAGCTGCTCGATCAACGAAAAATATCTCCAGGCAATAGGGTGGAGTGGAAAACGTTGGAAAAGGAACGCATCTACCTTACTGCTGTCCAGCATCCGGGCACCACGCGTGTGGTATTGGAAGAGCTTTTACTAGGCAACAAAATGGCGTTGCAGCGTCTAGCCTTAACCTACCGCATTACAGTGGAGGAGCTGACATTGTTTATACGCCAAGAGCTGCGTCGTTTAGCTGACTTGGGCTTAATTATCGAAGGCGGCTCTGATTCACAGCTTAATAATCGTTGGCAAGAAGAGGAGCGTGCGCGCCTGCGCACAATAGCTTCTACCATAACCATTACGAGGGATGAACTTCTCGAGTTTATTTCCAATGACAATGCCTACCAGAAGATTCTTTCCAATCTCTACCGTGTGAGTTTGGACAAGTTGGCGCCCTACCAGCGCATTGCTATAGACACTATGCAACGAGAGGGTCTCTTCCAGGAGCTTACCCTGAACCAGCTGCAGCCCTGGCAGAAGCTGGAGCGCGATCGTCTCTATGAGTTCATCCGCAACCAGAACTTTACTCTCCGAAACCTGAAGGAATGGCAGCGCCAAGATGTTCTGCTTAACGAGTTTGCCCTTAAATACGGCATATCTGTGTACGATCTTAAGGCTTGGCAGCTGCGGGAGTTCCAGAGGATTATTGATTTGGCACAGTACTACCAAATGTCGTTGATTGAGCTCCAGGAATTTAGAGATAATGAGCTGCGTTACCTCACCTATGTCATACATAAGAAAACGAGTCCCATACAAGAGATACAGAGCTGGGAGCGAAATGAGGCTGCCCGCAGTCAGATATTGCAGCGTAAGTCTGGCTTGTCGGGCCAGCAATTGCTTGAGTGGCGTCGCACCTTGTACCTGCTGTCCCAAGGACTCATTGATCTAAACACCGGCGGCAGTGGTGGACAGATAGTGGACAACGGAAGCACTAATGCTACTTTTGTGCCCAAGCCCATATTCTCCAAGGACCGCGGTGACCAGCCGCCAAATGCATATGAAGAAACCTTTGACGAGGATGAGCCGGGACTAGAAGGTGAAACCAAGAAACCTCTGCCAGTGCCTGCGCCCATCAGATCTACTCCCGCACCCTTCCCATATCCCACAGCGGTACCTCAATACCCTAGCAATGGTGGTGCTGGTGCCGATGGAGGTTTTGTGTATCGCAAAAAAGAGTACCAATTCACAGTGCCCGTAGGCACCGCATCTGCCGCGGCCAGCGCCACACCCATCGGCACTGCGTCTAGTGCTAGTGCTAGTGTTGGCAGTGGCTTTGACAAGTGGGGCACAGGTTCGTTGACGAGGTCTGTGGATCACCACAAGCCTCCGTCGGACGTCGAGGACTTTGGCCAGCAGCAACAAGTAGAACTGGGTTGGAATGGGCAATTGGTGCAAGTTGAGGATGAGGACGGTGGACAGCAAGTTCAGGTGGAAGAAACAGACTGGAATGGTGGTCAACAACAGCAGGTAGAAGAGGATGTATTTCTTGGCCAGAAACAAGTCGAGGACCTGAGCGATCGGCGCTACGGTTCTGGACTGAGCAGCTCCCGGCAGCAACCATTGCGAGCTGTAACACAAGCAACGGTGAGTAGGAGTGGTTGTTAAAAAGTCAGTACAACAACTAATTGTTTTTTTTTTTAAACAGGTTGAGGTACAGACCAGCGAGGAACCCAAGTCAACGTGGGGAAAATTCAAAGACTATTTCACGGGTTAAAACATTAAAACAAACTGCCATATTGGTTAAGACTTCCTCAAGTCAACGAAAACGAAACAAACAAATTGGTTACTTTTTTATAAAACGTCTTTTTATTTTGTAGTTTAGTCTTAAACAAGAGTTTTGGGGTTAGGCCCCCACTAAAGGTCACATTTGTACCGCTACTACTAAATATCCATACATCTGTATGTAATACTCTTTTTCTTTATAAGGACGTACTTTATTTGTTCTTTTTGCATAATAAACTCTGAAAAATAATTAGCTTTTCATTCAACCATCTAAATGTTATATCGCAACTGTACGTTGCTTGCGTGAATAGTTTTAAACGTAACAATAGGACTATGTATAGTTCGTGTTCATAAATATCCATGTATAAAGGGTGCCTGTGGCTCTATATTTTACAACTGACGGTATGTGGCGATATGCGTTGTTTTTTGATCATGTCAAGCAGGGATTAGAATAGGGGACTTTGGCTGGAAATAGCACCATTAGTGGGTGTTGTGAAAGGGAATCGAGTACTTTGGTTTAACACTAGGCACTTAATTGCATAACTCATAGTGATCATGATTTGTATTGTGACTTCGTCGGGCTTTCTAATTATATACACGCCTACGCCTGTAAGGCGTTGCGGGAATCAACTTATATGGGCCTCCAGCTCCGTCGCAGCACTTCCAACACCAAAATGCGTAGCTCGAAGCTGCAAGCCCTCACTGAGCTCCTCGGCTGCCAGGCCCGCACTTGTGCTTAGCCCGTCCCCGGTCTCTTGTAGCACATGGTTCTTCAGCTGCTCTATTTGGTGCAGCAATTTCAAGGTCTCGTCGTCTAGATTGTCATCTTCCAGCCGCAGCTGTCGCTGCTGCTCTTGCTCGGCATCTATGTCCCATTCCAGTGATTCGGGCGTCGATATGTGCGACCAGGAGTTTTGTGTAGAGGAGCCGCAGGAAGTGCGTGCAAAGTAGCCTTGTCGCTGAATTCCCGCGCGTTGTTGTCGTGTCGCCAGACGGACTTGGCTGGCATTCAGCGAGGCCGTCGTCGTCAGTTGGTCCAGGGAAGTATAGTGTTGCTGTGGGTTAACCATCGGCGGTGGGGTGTGCATTGTCAGCTGCTGTTGCTGTGGGTATTGCTGCTGTTGCCGCAGCTGTGCATACTCATGCTCCCACTCCAGATCTAGCGAGGAGCTGGCCCTTGAGCTGGCGATGCGTGTGTAGCTCTGCAGTTCCGTCTCCTTGTTGGGTGTTGTTGTATTGAGCAATTTAAAAACGTCGAGATTCTGCAGTTGTATGTCCGCATTGGTGCTGCAAAGCTCAAGTGGTAGTTCAACACATCGGGTTTTCATTCCCCTTTGCTTACCTCTCGTTCTGCAACTTGGCGTAGCTGGGAGATTGCTGTTGCTGCTGCTGCTGCTGGTCCCAGTACTTGTCTATAAATTGCGGGCACCTTTTCTTTCGCTTGAACTTCAGTATGCGGTAGACAAGACCGCGATGACGACAACGCTCGCTGGCATTCGATATGAGCTCGGCGTCTTGTTCATCTGTTGCGCATGCTGAACGTGAGGCTTGTGGATGACGCCTAAAAGTGAGCAATGCAAGTGTTTGTTTATTATGTTCCCGTTTGCCTTTTCTTTAAAACCAAGCAGCAATCCCCAATAGCGCACACTCTTCCACACAAACAAACGTACAGACACAATGCGAAGCCCATGCAGTCTTTGTTTGCGGTAGCACGCACTCAAGCGTTGCATACTTTAGGGCTGTCGACCTTTATGCGTTGCTTGTCTGGGTGGTAACTCATGTCTACCCATGCAATTTAGTCGAAACCCCAATGAATAACCCGAGGGTTGCAATCCAAGTAACTTCTATTTTCAAGAATAGTTTATAGATTTTTTTAAATGTTGAACATGGGTTGTACAAGTATTTCAAATTATTAAGAATCTCTTTTTGCATGGTCGTTGTTTTGGCTACCGACCGAGCTATTCCATTGCAAAAGTTTTAAATTCTTGTAAATAAAATAAACATATATTGTGGAGATTTGTAACAGTTATTTTGAATGATTAAGGTTGCATGAAGCGGGAAAGTAAAGAGGAAAATTCCGAATAAGAACACAATTTGAAGGCTTTTTTTTGTTAGGTTTCAGAGTAGTAGCACAGCTGGGATAGCTTGATATCTAAGCTAGTTCTATACTATACAACAAATGGTAATAATTCGAGCTAAGAAGGAATAAAAAAAATCTTTGCAAGTAGCCTACAACCCGTGCTAATTGCTCTTTGGTTAGCCGTATTATGGAGCGCCGCGAATTTGCGCTAATTAGCAAGCGGGTAGGCTTCCTAATAAGTGGCATGCACACCACCGTCGTTCCCGGCCCGTTGGCATCTGCCTATTAACATTTTATTGATTGCAAACTCAGCAGTCGCCCCTCGACAACCCTCTTTATAGCGTTACTTATTGGATTTGCAAAAGCGTATTCGTACTTTTGTGGCTTAAATTGAATAGAGTGGAGCACACACACTAGACGCGCGTTCGCAGAGTCAACAAAATTAAATTTTAATTAACAGTAAGTCGGTGTGTGTGTGTGTGGGTTAGGGGGCAAGGGCGTAGCTGTGGTCCCAACTTACCAAAGGAGCCAGCTGTTGGAGGCTGCCGCGGCAGCTGCTGCTGCAAATGTACGGTGTGTGGAGCTGGCTGGGGATGTGGACGAGTAGGACTCCTTTGACGAAGATGGCGACGACGACGACGACGACACACAGCCGCCGAGGCATGAACCCATGCTCTATTGCCACAATGCCGCAAAGTAGGCCACAGTTTCTTTATTCCTGTTGCTTTGTTACCGTTGTCTCCTTGCTTTTCCTACAAATTACCCGACATTAGGTTTTATGCGCGTAAAATTCCTTGTGTCATAGTTCAAGCTATTGTTGTTGTTGTTGCTGTTACTGCAATAGTTCTAATTGACTGTTGGCGTCGTGCGGGCTTTATGGCTTCAAAGCTTCATAGCTGACTGCCTGTCTGCCTTCCTTGCCTTGCCTTGCATTGCCCCTTTCTCTGGTTACTAGTGAGTTTTTTTTTGCAAATGCGCGTTGCCTTGGTTCGGGTCAAGGTTCATTTTTTCGACAGTTAAATGCTTTTCAATTTCAACTTCACACCGAGGCAAGCACACAAACGCACACCGATTCTCAATCGCATAAGCACACGCGTAACTGTTTTGCATGCTCGTAGCACAATGCGACGTCACTTGGTGACGCACCGCATGGTGTATAAACTAAACAGTTGAAACTTAGCGACCGACCAAAAGCGACAGATACGCAAGGTAGTCCCGTTGTATTTGTCTGCGTACATATGTGTATGTGTGCGTGTATGTATTGAAGACGGACGAAGCGGGGTTCGGTTGCTTTTGACAGTCAGCTGTTTGCCAGCAATACTCATTTGGTTTAACTTTTGCTTGTCAGTTTGAAGCACTTGGGCCTTGTAGTTAAAAAGGAAGTAGAAAGTTAACAGCTTTTTAACTTCCAAACTTTAAGCTTAGAAAGCTGCCATGAAACTTTGGCGGATGTGGCTTTTAATCGGGGAAATAACGGTTATTTTTATAACATTACATTTACACATTCTATTCTGTATGTTAAACATGCACAGTGTTGGTAACATAACATTTAACAACAACATATTTACTTGAAGCTTTAAAGAGAAACTCATTTTACAGAGCTGTGAACTGAGCTTGCAGGTGGGGTACATCTCTGTTATATTAACTAACAGTAAAGGCCAGTTCTCTGGTAACACATGAACATTTGCTTTCACAACAGAGCCTTTTTAAAATTACTTGCTCCCTTGCCGTTCAGTTTAACACTTGTTAGCAAATATAGTTTAAATAATATAAAATATAACTAAATTTGTAAAGCAGAAGTTATAAGGAGTATATATGTTGCAAATAGTAATAAGATAATTAGTTTTAGTTTAACTGTTAAGCTTTAATTGAAGTCGGAATGTACGCATATTGGTTACATTGGGACTTTCTTGTGTCATTTATATGTTAATACAAGTTGAAATAACAAAACAATGTGTCCATTGTTCTATAGTTGACTTTTTAATATCATTAGTCGTATATAAAAGATTGTGTAGTCAAAAATTTTTAATCCCATTCTCACACATTTGTTCATATGTTAAACATTAAATTCTTTTTGCAGCGAGATGTTGTTCCATGTGTGTTCAACACACATTACTTAATGTAAGCATAAATTCAAGAATGTTAGAGTAGGCGTGTAATTTAAATAACTCGCAATGCTTTTAGTAGCAACATCTGCTAAGCTAACATACATACGAAAGTACTTATAGCATTACAGCAAATGTTCATGTTAAATGTCATTACATTGCGCAGTTGCTGGCTAACCGCAACATTTGTTTACCTTTTTAACATGCCGCAACCGAAGCGCCAGACGAGACGACGACAGTGCCACTCCCACCCATGCCTCCACCCCACCCCCAGGACAGCATCATCGTGTGAAAACTGCAGTCGACCTTCGTGCCGACTTCGGTCCCCTTCGTTTCAACATGCTGCGTTCGTTTGAGCTTCAGTGCCAAATCAGCTTTCGTCGCGCGTGGTCGTATCGTCTTGTCTCGTCCGTCAACTTGCCAGCTGCTTTAGCGCATCAAGCAAACAATATATTTTAACAGCAATAACACAAATAATAATATTAATTACTAATTAACGCACGCATGCATGTGTGTGTAGGTCCTGATATACGTGAGTGTGTGCTATTTTAAGAAATTGGTCCATGATTTTTGTGCGTATGCATATCTACAAGTATAATCGCGAGTGCTGCGTTTGCCGGCGTTTTCTTTAGCCATGCCTGTTCTACGCGTAGAGCAAGAAATGCTTTGTTTTCTTTATTTATAAATTAACAGTTCGTCATACACCTCTTCGCCGAAAGACATTGCCCCCGGTGAGTTTTTCCTACGCGCACACATACATACTTGTACATACTCGTACATTATAATTATGTGTGATCGTTTCAGTTTGTCTAAATATTTTAAAATGATTTACTTGTTTTGTAACATTTCTAAAATGATTGTGGTTTTATTGCATTTTACAAATAATAGAATGTACTCGTAATAATGCAAATAATGGCAGTAGTAGTTAGAAGTTCTATTTGTTGGTAAATATTGGCTTCTTTGAGAAAGATTTTAATTGAATATTTAAGTAACTTGAAAGTATTGCAGATTTTTGAAGAGTTTTAGTTTTAACTGTGTATCACTCATACTCACATAGTAAGTACACATATGTGTTGCAAATAAATTATATTGTTGGATTGGCAGCTGGTCCGGAGGGGGGGGGGTTACAACTGAGATTATGATTATGCCCAAGTCGAGGTCTAACTACTTTTAATTTTAGTTGTTTGTTTTTGTAGTAGGTATAAAGGTGGTTGTGAAAGTGATGAATTGCCACAAGCTGAAAATGTTACTAATACGCTGCCAGGACACTTTACTGCGGTTAGCATATTTTATGCTCATTAAGTGCCAGTGGCCATGCAAACCACGGATGGCGCCAAACACCGGCGGTCAGTGTGGTTCCTTTGGGAAAGTGCTCGCCTTGTCCTTCTGTATGCTCGCATGTACAAATGTATATATGTATGTACTTGTATATAAATTGATGACGATCAGATCAATTCGTTCTGTGATTTAAGTGCGCGTAAATCTCTGTAGTGAAAAGTGTTGTGAGCTGCCGCCATCGTTCATGGTTTGTTGCCATTATTTGCATGTGGTGGGGATGGCGAGGACAAGCAAGAAGCAAGGAGTGAGCAGAAAATAAAATGTAAATTGATTTATTATGCACAAGCGAATGAACGGCAAGGCAACCCGACGGGCCTCCCGGCCATCCAGCCATCCAGCCAGCCAACCAGCCAACCGGCCGCCGGGCCCATCTTCATCTACTGGATCTGGTCTTTTGGTGCAGCCGTGCGTGCATTTTGCGAAAGGTAAAAACTGCAGCGCCAAGGCGTAAACATCGCCATTAATATTGATTTAAATGCAAGAATTGGCTTGCAAGCCGCCGAGCCGTAGGTGGCAGGGGGCTGAGAATGAGCTGAATGGCAATGAGCTGAAAAGACGATTCACATATGCATACACTATATACAAGTATATACTCGTACTATTTATGTGCATACTCGTGTGTTTGTATTTATTTATGTCTGCATTTATGCACCCATACGTTGCATTACTCATTGTCAATGCAATCAGAGCCATCTCGACTTTTTGCTATTAGCAAAATTGCAAAAATCACGCGCTTCCAGTCTCAGCCTCACATGCCTCCGATGCCTTCCATGCCTCCGATGCCTCACATACCTCACGTGCCCCACGGCCGCCACAAAATTCTGACAAAAGTTCCCAGCCAGCCGCAGCGCAATGGCTATGCAACACGAACAAAAAAAATAAAATATTGTTCACTATGATAACTTTTGGCAATAATACAAAAAGCATGTTTGTTTGAGTGCACGACAACTATGTATGGCTTAAACCCAGAGTGGGGGCGGCCCGTTTCTATTCCCTTGTACCAAATTGTTGGGGCGTGAAAAATGTAATGTAAAATATGTAGATGTTGTTCTTGTATTTCGGTTTCGGTGCCCCGGCTAATTGACATGCCAAACATGATGTTGTCGTTTGCATGTACGCGACATGTGGCATGTGGCATACTTTTAGCCAAATTGCTCGGTCTGGATGGGGCTTTAAGGCGCTTAGAAACACAGTCCAGCTTCTCGTCATACGAATTCAATTAGAAATGCATATATTTCTATTGCTTTTGCCACAACAGCTGCTGCCTGCTGCCAGCTCCTTGCCGTTCGCCCAAACATGTGAAGGGAGCAGGGAGGCAGGAAGGAAGGAAGGAAGGAAGCAAAGAAAGAAAGACGTCGCATCGTTTCGCCCTCGCCTCGCCTCGCGTCGCGTCAGACGCATCGTTTTAATTAAAATGCAATTCATATTCGAACAAAAGTTGGTGAAAAACAAAAACAGCCACAGCAGCAGCAGAAGCAACAACAACACTAACAACAACAGCAACGTCGCCTACAACACAGACGAGGAAAATTGGTTTACGCTTATGACACCAACAAGATGAAACAGAAAACAAAAAAATAGAAAAATAATACGAAGGAGCCAGTGCTGGAGGGATGAGCTCTGTGTGTTGGCATTTCAACCTGCGAGGTGCTAAGCCGGAGCAGTTGGCTCTGATTTGTGTTTCTAATATGCGGTCAGCTTTATGGTAACAATAGTAATAAAGAATTACGAATTGGACTTGATTGAAAACACGACTACAAATTTGAAGGGGATGCTGGTTGTTTATTTCTAGGTGTGGAAAAGATTACATTAAAACGTAGAAAGCGAAACGCCATTCAACCGTGTCTATAAAAACTTTGCTACGAATCCATAAAAAGAATATTTTAATGTCTTGTGTTAAAAGCCCAGAATCCATTACGCCCGAAATAAAAATGAGTCTGACAGATCTCGCATTATAAAACTGACAATGCACTCAGCACATTGTATTGAATCGGTGCGGGATAAAAATATGGGAGTATTTATTTTAATTCACGAACAACAATATTTAGTAGCTCTAGTCTGGTCTGATGTATTACGTTTACAAACAACAAGTTATCCAAAACAACATTTTAAAATACATTTTTAATCTGCTATCACGTATCACGTACTGAAATGGTAGCCGATAGGCTAACACGTTTAATTTTTCATTTTCCTAATAGATTTACTTGTTCTGTATATTCGCAAGTTAGCATTGCTTCAAATTCTTATTACTAAGTGTTAGTATAGTCTTAATGAACTTGAAAGTAAACTACTAAGTCATGGGTTTTTGATCAAATTTTTCCCCCGCTTTTTTTACTTATTAGAAACTGCCCATTCACTCATAAACTGTGAAAACAAACTTTATATTTAATAAAGTAAAGTAAAAGTTTTATAATCTGAATTATTTACAAGTATTTTAATTAATTGTAGAAGCCCAGAAATACATGAGTCTAATTTTTATGAATGAATGAAATGAAAATATTTAGTTTCGGCATTCGCCGATACCAATCCTATCAAGCTATCAAGCTTAGATATATGCTATTATTAAATACCTTTCGGTAACTGCGTATAGCTATTGGGAACAAGAAGCCTTTTCAAAATCTACAAGTATATTATGAACAAATACATTTA